AATCCATTTAAGAATGCAATGAAAGTCCCCTCGTTTTCAGTGCTTTAAGTATAATGTACGTTAATTAAGCTAAAAATTATCAAATGACTTAGACCACAGAATTAAGATCTTTTATACTGCGAGCCCTGTTTCTCAGCATTCGGCAGTTGTCAATGCAACAAACATTCTTGCGGCCCATTCGCGCAAATTTTCCAGCAAGAAATTGCATTTAATATTCAAATTTCAATCTATTTCTTTCCTCGCTGTTAATTTATTTCATCTTAATGGCAATAAGGTAAAATAAAACCAAGCTTGATGAAAGCATGCACTCTTTCAATATAAGTGTGAATCAATACCTTTACGATAGACATATCCCAGAAAGGTTATAAACGTAATACCGCCACCATGAGACAATGAATTGTAGATGACAAATTTGAAGAAGTAATTTGTACATGTGAGAAAATCATAAAATATGCAAAACTGAGAAGAAAATCACTGTAATCCACACATCCGGCTCTTGTCCGGCTCGTCTAAACAACTGCGTTTATTGATCTTTATTCAATGTGGCACGCAAAGTCAAAGTACGATATGATTTAAACTACATTTGATTTATATTTGTTCATTTGTTTATTTAGTTTCCGTTGCCGCATTTTGTCCAAATTTTACCACTTTTAGTTAATGGCAAGCATATTAAAAATGGAGGCCAAGCTTATGGGTTTTCTTGCAATTACTTTTAAGAAGACTGTCCATTAGCTGAAGGCATCCATTACTACTGGGGATAAGTGGAAATCCTCAACTCGAGTTTCCGTGTTTAATACTTTCGATGTTTGGAAATATGTCGTCCCTTTCTTTTTAACAAGTTTTTTTTTTCTTTTGTGTATGCCAAGATGATGTTCATACTCAAATGTCTATGTGTCATTGAAGGAGTTAAACTTGATGTTGGTAAACATTATTCGGACAATTATGTAAACTCCTGCTTGAAATTAAAGTCCCAGTGTCTGTAAGACCATAGAATCTCTTTCCAGTAACTGCGTCTTGTTTACGAGGAGCCGGCATGCGCAACCTGTCGATTTCTCCACTTGAAAATGCGTTTAAACGCTTTGCGGTATATCGTAAGCCGCATGCAATATATAAAGGGGTCAAGAGTTATTTTCATCATGAATAAGGTGATTGTTACAGCTCCAGATGCCGTTTGGCCTGTTTTGGAGGAGAATAATTTTCCTCCGTACATTGATAAGTGCCATGTTATCATTATCGGCAAGCTTAAAAGTGTAACACAAGCGAGCAACATTAGATTAGCTCTAGTAAAATTTCTGTCTCTAACACGAACGCAGGTCATTCCCTTAACTGCATTGTTGCTGCTTTCCCTAGCTCGTTTAACCTGCTGTAAATATTCCACGCCGAGGGCTGCATATAAGGCACAGAGGATAAACGTACTCAGCTGAAACGTTACGTGTAGTTGTAGTTTTTCCACTATGATTGGGGAAACACCAAGAGGAAGCATTCCCGGTATTAGAAATGAGATGAAAGTAATAATTCCAAGGAAGCTTGCAGTAGTCTTTTTAGCGGAGCTCCACTCGCGCGCGAAGCGCGCGCGTGGGCGGAGCACCATTGCTAAGTAAATCTACCCATCCCAGAAAATTTGGCAATCACGTGACCGTACACCCACCGCCGACCGCCGACCGCCGACCGACCGTCCGTCCGCACCACAGGAGAACCAATGTTTACTCTCACATTTTAGCTAGTTTGGGAGCCCAAGAGAAAACCAATTTCACATCAATGTTGTGATCAATTGACAGCTGTCAAAACAGGGCATACGCTGACCAGTATCACCTGACCGTAGCGCGGGCTCAAGTGTCGACCCATCGAGGTCGAGTATTTTTTTGAAGTTATCCGCTGACAAATTACCAGTTTGGAATGATCGCAGGCTCAAGTTTATTTTTTCCAAGGATTCATATCAAATATGTTGTGTTTATGTCACTATGGCCCCGCACTATTAGAATTTTGATTTCAAACTGACTTCGGAAATGAAAATTCAGCCAGTTTTTTTTAAAAGTACAGGCGGGGAAGACCTTATCTTACCATGGTCACGCGTTGGTCACGCTCTACGTCCAATTTTTATACTCTGATTGGTCAAAATTTGACAGGTGAGTTCATGCGAAAAAATTATGCAGCATCTTGAAAGTTGTTTACTTTCACAGCTGAAGCTGAAGAGTTTTGTGTCAACGTGTGATGTTTTTAACTGTCTTTTTCTTCTGGATGTACAAAATGAAATACAGCTGCTATCAAGAGTCTTCTGTTATTCATGGCTGGTTTGTTTACTGCGTTTTTGGTTGAGGAACGCGTCGCTTGTCAAAATTTGGTAATTCGATTTCGGATGGCATCGTTTTCGTTTTCCACATTGCTTAATGCGTTTGAGGGGTTAAAAGTCTCAAGCAACTGTGGCCTTCCTTGATAGCTTTCAGGAACTGAATCTCGAATGGTAAGCCTGAGTAACCATTGTATTTGATGTTTGTTTTTGTTATATCTAATTTCATGAAGTCTTGCACATTCACGCTGACAGTTTATGCGGCAAGTTTATGCACCGGTTGTAGCCGTAGTTTGAGTCCATGATCTGACCTAGTATCAGGTTTGAACGGTTTGATATAAGCTTTCAGAACTTTAAAAAGCCTTCAGATATATTTGCTCACCACTGATAGAAAGAAAACGTTCCGAAGAATATTTAGTTATAAATTTGGCTGTGGAAAGAAAACTTTGAGCGATTTTCTTGCTTCGAGGAGTTCATCTTGGAAAACAGTAAACACCCGCGCCGGGAAGCCGGCTTATAAAGCTTCACGCCGAGACTCAGGATTTTTAGAGACACTTTAATACTTGTCTTCATGAATGAAAATTGTTATCTCTGTAAATGTTTCACCGAATTATATTTCTTTTTTTGATTGTTAGTAGTCTCTCTTGCAATTTTAATCGCTAGTCTGTGCCGTTTGTTTTCATCGTTCATGAACATCGCTTGCAGGAGTACTCAAAAATGTCGCGCGTATCAAACGCTTCATAAGATTAGACATCGTTATAACTGAAACCATTAAATAACAAAAAAAAAAATAAATAAATTCGCTATTATGTTGAAGCTTAACTCTATTAAAGTTCATTCAAACACTCGACCACACTGACAGCTCGCACTATAGAAACGAGAACCGGCTGGCCATATGGGTGATTTTGGAAATTTTTGAACGGTTTCGCTTTACAATTCATCGTCCTGAATATTGACTGAGTGCAATTTGTCTTGAAAAATTGTGAAATACTGCATTCTGTCCGAGGTCTGTATGATAAATAGTACTGTTTCACCTCAAATGTCACGTATAAAAATTATAAAAGGTTGGTTTAAACACCTCCAGATTTGTTGGCAAGAATTTGTAGAGTAAACTTGTCGAACGCAAAAAAATTCGGCGTGATTTGTTTTCCAAGAATTTGTTTTCGAGGCCTAATCTACTGTGATCTTGAATGTGATCGAAGATGTTTGCTATTTTTTGGGTGTACATATAAGGTTATCAATTCGATGTAAGATGTTTCACTCTAAAATAACTTAGCCTTTCCCTCAAAAGTCACATGAATGTGCTCCTAAGTTAAATGATTTGTGGATTAAAAGTTTATTTTTTGATTTAAATTATAAATTTAGTAATTGGAGCTTCGCTTTTAGCCCTGGCTAAATCTATATATTAGTGACTAACCCAGAGTGCTTGTGGGGTATCTTCACCCCAATGTACTGGCACAATGATAATCCGAGCATTGATAAATAAGACACACTTGTTGTCCAGTACAGCATAAAGCTGGCAGCGTTCCACAGCAGTTCTAAATACGGAGGTCTCAGTGCCGAACATGAAGAAATGACATAATAGCAAAAAAGAGGGCCGGCGCTTAGCCCGCTAATGAAGTTGGCCAATACCATTCCGCAAACCAAAAACGTAGGTGGTGTTCGAAACCGCTTGAAAGGATCTTTCCACAAAATTATCAGCATCAGTGCATGACCGACTACGATTGTTAACGACAGTAAGGAAATTACAGAAACTAAAGTTATGCATTCGCCTTTTCCATCGTTCACGGGGCCCTTAAGCATTGTCAAAAAAGAGCATATTATTTATAATGCAGTAGAAATGGTCTTTCAAGTCGGTGGATTTTCTGATGCCGCCGTCTTCGGAATAGCATGTCCAATTATAATCAGATTCGACTTTACGTGGGTGATTTTCTACCCTCGTGACGACTATCACACTGGGTTCTATTCACACTGGACATTAATCTTATTCGAGTTGTTGCCAGGCAACCACATTTGAATTCCCGACTCAACTGAAAAAGGAAGACGCAGGTGTTGTGGATTCGAATTCTCGAGTGAGGCGCTCAACGCTCGGCTACACAACAGGCCTATCAAAGCCCTGAATGCTTTTTTACAAAATCTCAGTTGCATTGTCTTTTTTGATGATGCAAGTAGCTATACTCCGCTGTCAGACCCAAACAAAAGCAAAAGTGAGCTTTTTGTTTTGATTTCAACGGATTACAGAGAAAAATGTACAGTTTACATGTCAGTCAAATACACATATAGTTCCAAAGTTAAGGCAAAATCGACTTAAGCATTTGTTTCTTCAAAGAAACAGAATTATGTCCGAAAGAAAGGATATTATGAACATATGTTTGTCAGGAATGATAAGTCCTCTCTGCAATATATTAACACAATGAATCAAATACAACTTTTAGTCTCATTATATCACGAAATTGAAAACAAAAGTTTGTTTTAAACATAGTTACACGATTTTTTTACGCGAACGGCTATTCCTTTTTACGCAGTACGGACCAATACAGTCATATACATGGGTGAAGCCGGCTACCCCATCCCGTGTTTTGAAAGATTTCAGTTTTGCGTGATTTTGCGGAACGATCGTGAAATCATGTAGAAGGAATACCTTGACCAGAGCAGCGACCATTTCGGAGGATTTGGGGCTAAACAAGATGAAATTTCGCCGACCCCCCTCTTTGAATGTTGCTTCACTGAAGTAATCCCCCTAACAACTTTTGATGACTTTTGCGATCCCCCCCTCCATGTCTTCATTTTCCAAACAAATTTTAGTGGTCCCCCCTCTGAATCCTTAGAAAATTTTCAGCGATCCGCCCTTTTGGGTTCTTAGTTACGACTGATCCCCCTTTTGTTCTCCCAAAATCAAGTGATTCCCCTAAAATCCTCCGCACCCCCCCCCCACCGGGCGATTAATAATGACCGGTCCCACAACAACAACAACAACAACAGCAATATCAGACACTACTGCAGTACGTGATATGCTCTTGAAAATGATGTTAAAATTGCAGAGTGCTTGCTCAGTGTCCAATAAGAATAAAGGTAATCTGGCTAAAGCGACTTTTTGGCAACCTCGTCCCCAGGGCTTTTCCCTCAAAACCCATTTTTGAAGGGAAAAGCACTGAGGACGAGGTTGACTTTTTGGGGTTCTTAAAATTTCATATTTACCCGGCCAATTCGCATGATTTATGACCCACGATTGTTAGTAAGTGTATTGTGTGAAAAAAAAAAAGAGAGAGGGAGGGAGAGAGAGAGAGAGAGAAGGCGATAATAACTTTACAAGTCTACATTCGCATGGCGTTGTAAATTTCTAAGCCTGTAGATGACTCTCTTTAACTTTTGTGATGGGCCAACTGATATTTGTCTGTTTCATTTCTCTTCATTTGTAAGAAAGTACTTCTGACTGATAAAGGAATGTGAGCAAGAGACTTGAGCCAAATGACACGCTCAAATTAAAAAAGCAAAAGGCGAATGAACACGTCAAGCAACTAAAAAGCTAGGTGAAAGTCGATTTATAAATATTTTTGGATCACCGGGTATATACGTATATTTTCTTTTTCATATTATTCTCTCCAATCATGCTAGGACAAGTATTTTGAAGTGGCCGGCGGACTTAACCATAGTAAGAAGAAGACTGACTGGCTGTGAATGGAGGCAAACATCAAAGATAAAACAACGGTTTTGCAGTTTGTGTTGAAAACTCTTGTGACGTTCAATTTTATTGGTCAATAAGATCAAGATAATAGGAATGCTATTTAAATGTGCGACGTCTGGAACATAAAACAAAGGAGTTTGACAGGCTACATAATCATTCCATACATAACTTATCAAAAGTATGCTTGGGAGGGTTTCATGATTATCATAGATCATCGTCATCTCATTATCGTGTTTAAGTTGTTTTTCACCATTTAAATAATACTAGGGAGGAACCACTTAAGAAGATACAATTTTTCAACCATCACTCAGTGACAAAGAAAATTTGAATTGCGTGTATAAATCTATCCTCCTCGTGAAGACTAGAACTGATCTACCCTTTTCGTGAGGAAATAGACCCTACAAATGATGGTTCCAGACAGGCTTTATTGGAAAAAACCCTTTGCATTTTTTTTTCATAGTTTCATTTAAATTGTTCTTGATCACACGTACTGTAGAACGTTTTCCACGTGATATAGAGCTATGAAGTTCCAAAATTGCTGGGGTATGCGGTGATGTGAAGTAATTTTTGTCAAACGATGCCATCGTGTACCTTAAACCGCCTTTAATACTTAGATACAAACGTTAATTTTTTTCTCCCTCTCCTGATTATTATTATTTTAATGTCCTGTAGTCAACTTTATTCCTGAAAATATTGCGGAACGACGAGGACAGCCCAATTCGAATTGCCTAGCCCCATTTCATGGAAAAAAAATTTGCCGGAGTTATTGGAGTAACCTTTCAATTGCGTTTTTCTTCGTCTCCTCCGAGTCTATAAGAAGAGCAGGACGCTCAGGGTACATTTGCATCCAAACTTAATCCTTTTCTTTGTCCTTGCTTTATCGATCCTCCAGTCTCTTATCCCTATTCTCTTCTAATAAGCAATTAATTAGTCTGAGGCGCCAAAAAATAAACCCATTGAGCATACATCAAGGTTATTCCTTCAGTATCGTATTGCGCATCCTAATTGCGCTTTTCGCGCTTGGTTAGCACGCATAAAAAAATATGGCAGCTTTTGCTTTATTGTCGGAGCTCGTCAGAAACGTATTCAAAAACACGCACGGGTAAATATAATCATATTAATATTGTAAGGAATTATTACAAGTGCTGCTGGTCCTAAAAAAGTATGAAGACCCCCCGTATTTATTTCAAACTTTAAGTTACTAAAAGTTAAACAACTGGTACGCATCGTTTGACAAAAATGTCACTGCGTGTTCTATTTCAGAGGGCTAGGATGAAGAGAGATGGAAGTAGATGCACTGAAAAAGGAAACATTGCTTTAAAAAGAATTTCATTCCCCTCATTTACAGTGTTAACATAATGGCAATATTTTTTATCTTGCTGAAATATGTGAAAAGGAATCAGATCGGTATGTGGCATCGAACGTCTAAAAGAGATGAAAATTGATTAACCCCAAGCCTTTAATGAGCTTGTAATAAAAAATGGGAAATAAACCGAAAAACTAGAAAAAAAATACCAAAACCAAAGCTGAGTTCGCTTCAAAAACGCAAGCTTGGTTTCACAAAGCTAAGGATGAGATGAATCTCTTCGGGAGCTACTGAAAGCAAAACTTCATCGTTTGTTTTGAACATCTAAGGGCTGAAATCCAACTTTCCAGTGATTCTTTGTGAGTTTCAAAATAATTTTACAATGTTTGGACTTCCGAGTTTGCTTACCACACAATCCACTTGTTGAGGAAGTAATTTAAAAAAATCGTGCTTGGGTTCACTGGATTCCACAAGAAAAGCCGAACAAAAATTGAAATGGACACCCGATGAAACACTTTTAATGGTTTTTGAAATCAAATTTGATCAGTATCACATTAGAATGATTTTCAAAGATGAGGGAACTATTATATTATTATTCATTTATTTTTTTCATTTAGAGAACATTATAACAAAGATCTCTTTAGTTAATGAGCCACCTTATAAAATGGCAAAACCAGCTTCACTGTACCCTGGGTACCAGAGGGTTTTTTTTTCCTCGCGTGCAGTTGGATGCTTCGGTGTCGGTCAGAGGCCGAAGATCTTCGGTCGAAGGCCGGTCGATCTTCAGTCACGCGGGTCACAATTTAAAGAGTTGTCTGAAACCGAAAACCGCGCATGAAAAGTCTCTGGCACCCACGGTAGAAACGCTATAAAGATGTAAAAAAAATAACTACCTGAATACGAGAATTCAAAGGTGCGTTTGATTGACCGTACTCCAGACAAGAGCATGAGAGACTGCTTCAGTTTCCTGAATACGCATGTTTTCTACAACAAAAGATTTTACAAAGGTTAATCTACCCTATGCAGGGTAGATATTATAGGTTTTGTCACGCCCCAGAGTAATCCTTGTTTACTTTTTTCTTCTTTCAGATAATTAACAATTCGGATCGCGCACGGAAGATCAAATAAGGTTCTTGAACGAGCTTGGAATTTGTATACAGTTGCAGGAGCCTATCAATTAGATGGGTTCCTGACAGTTGTCAACTTTAGCGAAAGTTCATGTGAGAAAAAAGCTGACCCCTTTGCTCGAGCCATAAGCGCCCGCGCATGCACTAATTGTATTGCCTTGACCGAGTTGAGTGGGCAAGCCAAAGGGTTAAGTAAACATAAATATGGAGAAAAGTTGGCCGGTTAGGAGATGACCCGCCTAGGTGGGGGGTTGGGGGGATCAACCTTTTAGCCGTCGAGCCAACTTTTTGTTTTTTCACGAAAAGCGGTTCGTCAAGTTTTGTAAGGAAATGTAGGAAAAGTTGGCTCGCCCGCGCACCGGGTAGGTGAGTTAATCTTCGACCACGGACAAGTATTCACCTGATATTTTGCAGAATCCGGGACGGTTAATCAAACGCACAACCACTACCGTAGAAAAAAGTTTTAAACAAGTAAAAACGACTTAATTTAAAGATGGCCAGTTAAGCCAAGAATAACTGTTTACCAAGTACATAAAAAGGAGTGATTTTTTTGTTTTGTTTTCCGAGGTAATCGAACTTAAACAAGAATTTCATAGTAAACTTCCACCTCCTCTGGGCTGAAGTTCTGATTTCCGGTCCAGATATTGTTATCACAATAGGGACTAGTATACGAATAGCAATAACAGTAAGAGTTATGATTGTATCTTGCGTTATCTGCAATGTACAAATCATGACCCCCTCCGAAGGTTGGACCATAGCCATAGCTGCTGTATGTGGCATAATAATAGTGGACGTTGACGTCGTTTTTAAAGTAACCATATCCGTAATAGTTTTTCAGCGAGTATATGAAGGTGTTGGACGAGTATTGGTATGACACTGAAGACCCTGAAGAGAGACATACATTATTGTTAAAAAATGCAGAACAGGTCCTTGCTTGAGTCTTAACTATCACAACAACGTTACACATGCACGGTCAACACTGTCAGGAACAATAAAGTCCTATGTATACATCTTCAACTCCGACACTCAAGCTCCAATTTGATGACCACGAGGTCAGTGAAACTACTCTCGTACATGATAGTCTATGAGCTCACATGGTAGAAGAATAGACCTGATTAAATTATTCTCTAATGACATTAACAAACTAAAGTTGTTGTTATTGCTTGTTGTTTATTATGCATTCAGATACAGGGTAAAATTGCTTAATCGAAAAGAATTAACCAAACAGGAACTTTCATTTGTGTAAACAAGTGCAGAAGAACAGAAATATTAGAAACAGATATTTTTTCATTCCGTAATAAATATTCTGTTCAAAAGGTTAAAATTCGATGAAAACTTCGATCGGTAATGAATAACTACAATCGTTTTCTTTCCCTCGATCTGTCAAAGTGACGGTTTATTTTCCAAATTATTCGTCAATAATTTATACTTAAACCGTGGTCAAAAATGGAGTATGTAATGATTGCAAACTACTCCTCATCTTGTTATGGGTAGGAGTAAAATTTATAAAACAAGGATCTTAAAATCATTTAGTACGGTAACTAGTAAAAACCAAAGTTTACGGAGTGCGGGCGACAACAATCGAAGGTCAAAACGCTTTTGTTCCACCGCTGTGCTTTGCGTAAGTTTCACGTGACAGATGGTCAAAAACGCGCGTGATCAGATTTCGAGTGATAGAAGGTCCAAACACTCTTGATCAAATTGCGTTCTGTGCATTCCTTATATTCTTAGTGGAAGTCCAAACGAATGCGACGAATGCTGGCACATACATGCGACGTATGCGTAATAACAACCTGGACATTAGGATTGCGGGCTCCTCTTGTCGCCCGCAATAAAGATTTTTTTTTCTGTTAAGGTGGTTCGACTGGATTTCTTAGGGGGGATACCTCCTAAGTTTGAGCATTAACTACGCCGGCATGAGTAAAGATATGGGAAAAAGGTTACCACAACTGTATTATAATAAAGATGAAAATTTCTTATGATCTGGGTTTTATTGCAATCGGAGTCGCCATGGTGACGTAATGACGCCATTACGTTTTTTATCTATCTTTGTGTTTCTCTGTACCAGGAGCTTTTTTTAAGAAATCGCTTAAGTGAGTATGTACCTGCCATAATTGCCTCAATTATGGCAAAGTTTGAACAAATTCTATGAGAGCGTCTTGGAAATATTTTGAAACGATGATGTAAGAGTCATGAAAACAGTGAAATAGCATGCTATCCACACAATTAGCTAATATTTTAAGAAAATGATAAGATTTAGAAATGCGGCTTCATCTCATAGAAGTTTGATTCCATTGAAATCTGCGTACAAAAAACGAGGGGAATTGCTCTGGGCGAGCGCGAGTTAGAAGAATTTTATTAGCCTGCATTCAGCTGCTTTTGTTACATTTTTTGCACGTAATTTGGTAATGAAAACAGTGAAATAGCATGCTATCCACACAACTAGCTAATATTTTAAGAAAATGATAAGATTTAGAAACGCAGCTTCATCTCATAGAGGTTTGATTCCATTGAAATCTGCGTACAAAAATCGAGGGGAATTGCTCTGGGCGAGCGCGAGTTAGGGCCTGTTTACATGGAGTGGGGGACCACGGTCTAGTGGGGTTGGTTTCTTTTGTTTTCACGCTCTAGGGGACACAAAACAAAAGAAACCTACCCCACTAGACCGGGGTCCCCCACCCCATGTAAACAGGCTCTAAGAAGAATGTTATTAACCTGAATTCAGCTGCTTTTGTTACATTTTTGCACGTAATTTGGTCCATGTCTACACAATAACGCATTATTCAAAAAAACTGCTCGATAATTTTTTTTTATAAACTTGACAATCACGAGATCAATTGTCTCAATAACATTAAAAACACGGAAGGCCTTTAAATACAGCCTCAAATATAACGAATTTTTCCCTCAGAGTTTGTGTTTACAAGCGAGCGTTCTCATTATTCACTGGTATTGTTTTTTTAAGTTTCATATACACGTGCACAACAAGCAAAAGAAACAAATTTGCATGAAAAAGAACTCTCGATTACTTTCCGAAGAAATATCAGGGGGAGCCGAACGGTGAACGTCACGGCTCATCGTGTAGGATGCAATACTTAATTATCTTACTCGGGTTATAACATCAAAGAAATCCTTTACCCTAATTTCTTTACCCGGTTATTAGAATATTCTGAAGATTTTTTCGGAAAGCAACCGAGGGTCCTGTTTTATGCAAATTCAATATGTTTGCTAGTTGTGCACGTGCATATGAAACTTGAAAACAATGCCAGTGAATAATGAGAACGCTCACTTGTAAAGGGAAAAATTGGTTATATTTGAGGCCCTATTTAAAGGCCTTTCCTGTTTTCAATGTTCTTGAAACTTGCAGGGTATAGCTATTGACGATTGATCTCGTGATTGTCAAGTTTGTAAAAAAATGTATCGAGCAGTTGTTTGAAAATGGGAAATTTGTAGGCATGGACCAAATTACTTGCAAAAAATGTAACAAAAGCAGCTGAATGCAGGCTAATAACATTCTTCTAACTCGCGATCGCCCGGAGCAATTCCCCTCGAGTTTTGTACGCAGTTTTCAATGAAATCAAACCTCTATGAGATGAAGCCGCATTTCTAAATCTTATCATTTTCTTAAAATATTAGCTAATTGTGTGGATAGCATGCTATTTCACTGTTTTTATGACTCTTAAAACTTCGTTTCAAAATGTTTCCAAGACGCTCTCATAGAATTTGTTCAAACTTTGCCATAATTGAGGCAATTATGGCAGGTACATACTCCCTTAAGCGATTTCTTAAAAAAACTCCTGGTACAGAGAAACACAAAGATAAATAAAAAACGTTATGGCGTCCTTACGTTACCATGGCGACTCCGACTGCAATAAAACCCAGGTCATAAGAAATTTTCATCTTTATTATAATACAGTTATGGTAACCTTTTTCCCATATCTTTACTCATACCGACGTAGTTGATGCTCAAACTTGGAAGGTACCTCCTCTAAAAATCCAGTTGGGCCACCTTAAGATGACATAATGGTATCTGTTTATCATTGTTACGCGGGGTGACAGCTCTAACAAGGGCTGTTTCGGAAGTTATTGAGCAAAGATTTGATGTTACATGTTATCCAAATTAAATACTTAGGTATCTATATTGACAGCCACCTATCCTGGCATGACCATATCGACTATGTTTGTGATAAAGTCAGTAAGAGTATTAATATTATGACAAAGATAAAAAGTTGTCTAGGAAATCAATGTTTAACTAGTATTTACTATTCTCTTGTTTACCCATATCTCATATATGGTTGCTTATTGTGGGGAAATAATTAAGATAATCCATTATCACAGCTCATACGTCGACAAAATAAAGCAGTTAGATTAATGAATGACGTTCCTTTACGAGATCATATCACTCCTCATTATGTTCATCTAGGTTTATTAAAATTTCGTGATAGTGTTAAAATTTACAATTGTTTGTTTTTATATGATTATGTCTCTGATAATAAGCCGTGTAATTTTCCATTATTTCTTGTATCTGAGCAACACAATTATTTTACACGAAGTGCATCTGCTCAGCAATTACACATTCCCCACTTAAGAATTAATATTCGAAAGTTTTGCTCTACCGTCTTGGAAAATACCATTTGAACGATCTCCCCCTTTCTATTCGCAATAAATCATCGAAAATCCTGTTCAAAAAGGCACTTAAAAAATATTACCTTGCTCAATATTGACTTGTGTGCGTGTGTGTGTGCGTGTGTGCGTGTTTGTGTGTTAATGAATAACAAAGCTATATAGAATAGAGTCAATCTTGTTAAAGGACCATAATTAGTTTTCTATAGTGTGCCCTTCTCCATTCTAATTTTCTTCTTTTATTATTATTATTATGTACACGTAGTTTAAGCAACTTTGTATTAATTGACATTGTACGACTAATGTATTATCTATAGGATGGAGTAAAAATAAAATACAAATACGAATACAAAGTCACGAAGTCACGCCAATGAAAATAAGCATAAAAATGACAATTGATTTAGAGCACATTTTGGACAGAATTGTTCCTCTCAGAACACTAGAAATGGCGTTTCAGAGCACCAAGATTTCACAATTTTATGGGGGAACATGTCCCCAGACCCCCCTAGTGGCCGGCCCCTCCAGCGCTCGCCTGATTAGTCGGTGATTAAAAAAAACCCACACGATTTTATATACTTAAAAAGTGTTCAACTCCACTAAACGAAAAAATAACTAAGGTTAGATAATTAACAAGTTAGATAATTAACAAGAAGCTGCAGAAAATCTCTAATAAAATTATAATTTTAATTGTTGAAACAATTTCGGGAAGTTAAACATTAAACATGGGGAATGCCACGGAAAAATTCGGGAGGGTCGTCCAAATTTCCGTGAGGACGTAAAGTTATTCATAGCACTGCCCAAACAGCCTTTGTTAGAGTTGTCACCCCCCCCCCCCCACCCCCCTAATGTTACAAAAGACAGGAGGGTTGTAAAACAGACCCTTCTTCCTCATCCTAGGTTTAAGACATTATTTTGAACAAAGGACGATCATGGCGCCATGCTTACCATATTTGAGAACTTACCTTGCCATGAATTGTCGTTGTAACCTCCGAAAATATAGCTCCCAACCTTTACAATGGTAACAGTGGCTCCTTTGTTATCGCAACGATTGTGAAAGGTCCGTGATCTCCAACCGTCAACGGAAGCTCTGTAACACAGTTTCCAGTAACTGTAAGAACTGCGTAACTTGGGACTAAGCCAGGAATTTAACTGCGATATCATGCTAGCGTCATTGGCTAAAACGAGAGAGTCATCAAGGCCTAGAAAAAGACAGACCCAAAGATTATTCTTTAGTGTAATAAAACAATGGGAAAGTACAAAAAAAAAACTGCTTAGCTAGACAACACCAGCCCCCCTCCCCCAAATAAAGAAAAAAAAGAAAAGAAATAAAAAATACACATACAAGACAACAAAAAGCAAAATATCACTCTGAGTAAATGAGCTCGTGTATTATAGGTGTTTCGAACGATTATTTTTAACTTAGGGCTTACTGCCCGCGTGTCCGTAAATTTAACATTTCGGAACATACTCCCGCCCGATGCAGGGAGTGCATCAACAAAGTGATAAACAATGTATCCAACAAGTTCAATCAAGTTCAGCAGCTAGTTCAGCATCACAGCATCGACTGGGCGACGAGTAAGACTTCCAGATGTGAGTCGCAAGGTAATAGACGAGATAAAACAATCTCGACCTGGATGGGTGCATGGCTTCCACACGGGCACGCTGCCACTGGCCGCGGGCTGAGTGATCTTCGCTAACAAAGACCAAGTCATCTTTATGTATCTCGCGCCCAACTATAGACCATTTCTTGAGGGATGTCAGAGACTTCAGATACTCGGCATGCCAACGCTTCCAAAAACCATTTACAAGTCTCTGATAATAATGAAAACGTTTGGCGATGGCTCTAGAAGTGTGTTCCGTAACATGGGTATCTTTTGTTTGAGACGCTAGAAGATTTTTGCAAATTAGGATCTTTGCGGGAGTAATTACGCTGTAGAGGACGACTAATCAGCTGTGTCTTTCTTTATATACACTCTTCGTAAAACCCACCCGACGATAGGGATCTCTCAACAATAAACTTTCCCTGAATCTTCCTTTCGGACAGTGTGACTTGCAACCTCGTTCCCAGGAGTTTGTGCGACTTGAGTTTTGTCAGCTTCAAGCACTCTCAAACACTACTGTAGATTTTTGTTAGCGGCGTTGAATGTTAACAACTTCGTTGGTCAGCATTGAGAGGAACGTTGTTAAGGTCATAAAATGAAGCGGAAGAGCGTTGCAAATAACCCACAAAATTAACATTAATGCGTTTATCAATTTCAAAAGAAAATAAATGACTGTCCGCTTACGGTGATGAGAGCACGTCTTCCCGTCGCCATAATATAACGCATTTCCGTCGCACTTGCAAGTAAATGACCCTCCTGTATTGTTGCAGATTGCATTTGAGTCACAGTCGTGAGTTTTAAGCGAACACTCATTCACATCTGCAAAAAATATAACCATGTTCCGTATGAACCATTTTCACTGATGAAATTCCACAGACCACGTAATATACAAAAGTTAGTAATACGAAGAGTCGAACCGGCTGATTGTAAGTGCAAGAACTATAAGGAAGTCCTACTCCCCGTGATAGGTCGAAATTAGATAGGTGACAATTGTCCATCACTAGCAACCGACACAGAGGTGAATAACTGTTTTAGTATATACTAAAACACTGAGATAATTGAGCACAAAAATGATGGTTTTTAACTCATTTTATACTGTTGCAGACGGTTACAATTTTGGCGCCAAATGACCGAACGGCCGCCGCGTTTTCTTGCCGACAAATAAAACTCTTGAAAGTATTTGTTTGGCTATTGTGGGGAAATTTGTTCAAAAGGAGTTATGAAGTCTTTTTGTATTTGAAACCCTTTTGGTTAAACAAACTATTAAAAGCTTATTTATGAACATGTCATGTAAATAAAGTATTAAACTCAAGACGTAATCTGCATTTGTAAACAAAATACTCTTTCACAACGGTTTAATCAATGTCATCGATGAATTCAAGTGAAACAGACAAAATTTTACTTGTTAAAGTTTCCAAACCGAATTTCTTCACTTTCTTCGTGCATTTCGGGAACAGCTTGTTAAATTATTTGTGAAATTTCTTTGTTTGTTACGGTAGCAAACCGGGAAACCGTTTTGCTCGTAGCTTACGCGAGTTTGGCGTCGCTCGCTCACGGGATCAGTGAATAGCACTGGATATCCCGACTTTCAGAAGCCAATCAGAGTGCGCGAAAAACACTATGAATGAATGATAACTTTATTTATACACGGTTAAAAACATCAGTCTAACATAGAAAATTAATTGGAAATTCTCAAAAACCGTTTTACATATTTGCCGTGTGGGAGTACTGATCAGAAAACAATCTATGGGAACCTAAGAAATTTAATGTACGTATTTCCTCAGGAAGATTGTTCCATAGAAGAGCGCCACTGTAACTGAAGCTACGCTTCAGGTAATCAGTTCTTGGTTTTTGGAGCATCAATTTTTTCTTCGCGTTGCGAAGATAGTAATTCGGTGTTCTTGGGGCAAACAAATTACAGAGATAAGCTGGGGCGAGATTATTAATGCACTTGTACATTAAATTAGCCTTTTGTTTAGTCCTTCTAACCGATAAATTGTCCCAACCAAGCGAGTTAAGAAGAAATCTGGAACTAGTATCATAGGTAGATTTGGTGATAACTCTGATAGCACGATTTTGAGGTTTTTGAAGTGTCTCACTAAGCTGTTGGGTCAAGCCATCCCATACAGCACTGCAATAATCGAAGTGTGGCTCGATAAGACCTTTGTATATTTTAATTGCAATGTGCATTGAAACAAATGGCCTGACCCTCTTAAGAGCACCTATACCAGAGGATACTTTTTTAGAGATTTCATGAATGTGGCCCTTCCACTAGAGATTTTCATCAATGATAAGCTATCCACTGTTTTAGTATAAAAATATAGTGAAACAGGATATTGCCAATTCGATGCATACCCCGCTTTAAGTCAGTTTCACAATCTGTTTTTAGCCAGTGGTGCCATTTTTTTGGTAGCTAGAAATAATGTCCGGTTCAAAATGGGGCCGCGTCTTCTAAACCTGTGCCAAAATGGTACCGTAATAGGATAAAAACTTATAGCGCCCTAGAACAGTCTACCGTTTCATGCAATGAATTACTCTGCGAAGTCTAAACACTGATCAAGAGATTTTTTTCTGTGGAATCAAGTTCAGCAACGGCGTACGAAATCACCTATTAAAAGTTCACAGCGATTGTGTGATGGGTAGGGAAAAGGTATTTAATTTACCTTTACAGGTTCGTCCATCCCCTGTATAACCGCTATTACAGATGCAAGTGTACGATCCACCTGTATTATAACAGGTTGCACTGCTGTCACACTGATGACCTGAAGAACACTCGTCGATATCTGAAAAAAAACAAACACACAAATAAACAAACAAAAAACATAAAAAACACTATTTTTAACAGACTTACACGGTACATAACTTGCGGTCATACCATCTCTATATCTCTAAATTGCTTTGAAAAGAAGCCTGATCGCAGTTTACAAAGCACACAATTACCAGTTTTACCCTACATGTACATTCGTGCCTTGAGACAAGAAAGGATAAAGGGGACAGAGAAGGCATCCCCCATACAAACCCTATTCCATACGTAATTCGTCTCGAGTTATGTTTAGAATCGGGATAAAGTTACCTCGCGCGCTGCGTGGATGTTTCGTGGAGGTTTCGCATGACTAAACGCCGTGCAAAACATGTCGGGCGAAAGGCAATGAAAGCGTAAAGAGATCGAGAGCATTCCTGAATATTTACGCGAAATGAGTCGGCGCTCACCTGGGAAAAGGAAATCGCTAGACTCTTTGACAACCCGTGAAATCAGTTTAACTCGAAGTTGTCGTAACCTCAGTGCTTTAATAAAATGGGAAATTTCGCCGGTCTATTGAAACCGGTCGTTTGTACAAAGCAAGTAGGACGCCAAGTGTTATTTTTGTTCAAAATAGAAGACTAATAAAAGAATGAATATCAAACCAGAAATTGCTCCCTTCAAACTGTAAATTATAGATATCCTGAGAGAATATTCAGTGTGTTAAGGATTTCCCTGCTGTACTGTTAGCTCTATACAAGAGAGGAAGGAGGATTTTTACCCGGCCTTCCTTTCAGGAAGAGACGGGTATAGTTCTGGGCTTGGTTTTTCCTTCGTCGTCGAATCGCCCTCTAGTCTTTAAAGCGCATGCCTGTACTGGCGGATTATCACGTGATCGATTTCCGGCAAATTCATTGGCTTAGAGGCAAAATCACCTTGAGATGTTGTCGAGAACAAAAGGCAGTTTTTTTGTCGGTCCGGAGCGTGAACGTTGTGGTTTTGTTGCCTCTATGAGAGAGCGACAATTATTTTGGTCGAAATGTTTAGTGATATGTGTTGTCTAGAGGATAATGTATCCTCAGGAACTGTCAGACAAACACAGTGGCTCGATTCGTTTAATCGAGATCGGCGTTGCGATCGGCGCTGGTTGCGAGAAGAAGACATGCTAAAAAGGTGGGTAATGCTTACTTTTTATGTTTAGTGCAAGTCACGAGAATTTATATAGCAGTTGAAGAAACACTATGGGGCTTTGTTTTGGCAAGTAAGCGTGTACCGAGGTGCAAGGAAGAAGCAGCTTTTAGTGTGGACCATTTGTGTGCTAAATTGTACACCTTGACTGTTCGATCTGTACAAACACACAAGTCACTGTAAACACCTTCGAAATTTTATGCTTTATAGCTTTTATCGCAAAACAGTAAGATACATTAGAAAATTTAAAAGCAGAGAAATTGCTTTGATTTAGTAATATAGCATAGTTTGCACCAAGCTGCAGGAAAGTGGCAGTAAATTACCGTTTCGGTGCATTAATTTTCATTCATCAAAACAAACAAATCTGACTGTTCATCGCAGAAGTTTGTGGTTGGTCCAAGTCTCGTGCTGCCCGGCGGTATAAAAACGGAAACTTACTATATCGATGGAAAGAAATATTCTTTGACTTTTTTTGGCATGTATGCCATATAATGGATTAACTTGTATCGAGCTCGCACGGAAGCGGCAGGTTTGTAAAGCACGTAGAGTTGTTTGATGCTAAAATTGGACATGATTTACTATGTAACAACATCTCACTGTTAAATTAACTCAAATATTACATGTAAGCTTAAAGCTTTTTGAAAAATGGGCGATTGCTTACTATCGAATTTCGATCTTGCAAAACTCCATTTTGATCGATCCAACATTATTAGAAATTTCAAAGTTATCTATGCTAGAAATTTTTCTCTTTGCCGTGTTCAGCTACTATACATTCGAACTTGCAATTAAAAGGATCGACAAATCGATTGTAATATTCTGTATTTTAAGCTGGTTTTGGGATTATCCTCAACGAGGCACATAAGGGTGTAGGTTTGGGTTTTCTGTGGTTACTTCTTTGCTTGTTGTTGAATCAATAACAAGGCGATAAAATATTGACATATCCTTTATTTATTTACTTTTTTTTTCAGAGAAGATGAACTTGATCCCAAATCAAACGATAAGTGCAGCAACACTTTTCGAAGATTTCTGATGATGAATTAACTAAAAGAAGATGTCGGTAGTTTGTCTTTGAAGCACCTGTATCAGAGTGACAATAATATGAATAAAGGTCTTACTCACGCGAAGATCTGGGTTTTTTACTCCTTTGTAGTAATCTAGCACGTACAATAAACACTTCAGCAACCAGAACAAATTTAAAATCCTGGCATAATTATTCCAACCATTTTGTTCTCTTCCTTTTCATATAGGGTGTTAGCCGGTAGTATTTTGTTTCCATTTATTCATCATCAATCCATCATCAAAGTTCATATGAGTTGTGGTGCATTACTGCATAGTGCACATTTTCCCCCGGCGCACTATCATTTTATGAACTAAAAGAAGGCCGGGTTCACGCACTCGTGCGTCTTGTTTTTTCTTAATTTCCGTTTCGCTGACACAGCTTTAGCAGAAATCTCTCTGTAGTCGTTTTCGTCGACAAAACGAAAAGCAATATCGCTCTCCGCGTCTTCCGCCATTTTGTTCTGCGTCAATTCGTGAAGGACGCGTGGCTCTGAGTGTGGGTCATCCACGCGGAACACATTCGCGCTATGTGATTGGCTGTCGCCTAATCCCCCTTGGGATCTGTGGTCTTAAAAATAACTCGAGACGAATTACCTATGTAATAGGGTGTGTATGGGGGATGCCTTCTCTGCCCCCTTTATCCTCTTTTTCCTTGAGATTAATATTTTTCATAGGAAAATTCACTTCGTGACTAGGGTTCTACGTGAAATTTCACGCGAAATCTAATACCGCGATGAGTGCGATATCGGTTTTTCAAATTTAACCAGGAATTCTTGAGTGAGATGGTGAATTTTCCTCGAATCGCATAACTTTTGTATGAACCAAGAAAAAAAAAAATTCTTTCAGCTAATTTTTTGCCTCACACAAGCAATCATTGACCCACTTTAAACCGACTAGAGCGAGTACGAACCGAGCTAAAAAATAATTCACATAGATTTTTTAATGCGTAAATGAATCAGTGAAGTAGTATTCATGATCGGTAGCATAATTTGCGTTGTCGATGTTTTATAAACTTCTCAAAGAAGGCACCGGGCCCCAGTGGGATAGCACTATCCATCGGATAAATCACTATCCAACGGATAAGTATTAGGGAAACCAATTGCGCTATAGGCGAATCTTTGTTTACACCTTTTGCCTCATTAACATATGCTAATCACTATCTGATGACGCTGATAAAATAAAAACTCTGAATATTGAAAGGACATAACAGTTTTAGTTCTCTCTGAAAATTTGAGCCCAATACACCGAATGGTTTCGGAGAAATTCTCTTCTAAACTCGAAATTTTACAGAGAATGTATGGCTCATTTAACTTTTTTGCCACACAGTAATTTCGCAGTTTTTGATGGCTGATATTTCCTTAAACGGGCTGAAAATTGCACAAATTGCTCAACTTAATCAGCTCTTTCAATTTTGGCATTTAGTTCATATATACAACCACGGCTTCTATAAGTTAAGTCGTATGCTAATGAGGAAAAAGGTTAACAATGACGTCAGAAAGATTCGCCTATACGCTGGATAGAACTTTATTCAGTGGATAGTGTTATCCGTCTCTTGAACAACTGATGCCTGAAGACATGGATTTTCCCTCGACTTTGCACGCTGCCGCGAAACTAAAGAAAGCGAAAGAAAAACAAAACAAAAATTATTCGGTATTTTACGAAACAGCCCAACAGGAATTTAGAGACTAGTAAACTGCTGACATATTGACGTCCACTTAATCTGAGTAAAAGAAAACGGGTAATGTCTGCAAGATTGTTTGGCAAGGCCAGGTTGTTCACAACACTTCATGTTTAAAGTTAATCCTGAAAGGCCACTGCCACAATTTTCAAATTATCCTCCGGGCTGCTTTTTGCACTGACTACATTGTTCTTCATGCACTTAATTATCGCTATTATCATCAGCGATTGTCGATGCAAATCGGCTTGCAAGAATCGAGAATGAACAGCGACGAGATTCTTTGGCTTCGCGGGCTTTAACTGATGGACTTTTTGATTTATTTCGAAGAACGTTCTCAGATTTTTACTTCTGCTAAAGGAAAGCTGTTTACTTTTCTATTCGTGTAAAAATTTGTTCACTGATAAAATTGACAACTTTTCGCGATGATCTTTGGCCATTCCCCTGGCCGGATTGGACTTTATTCAAATGATGCAAAGTACGCAGGTTCCAGAGTTGTTTGGTAAGCTTCGGACGAGTGCAATGTCGGTCACACTTGTTTTGTAAGTCGCAGTTCAACTCTAATACCCACAGTTGTTCTTAAGATTGATAGCGCTATCCACTTGATATATCCCAGTACCCACTTGAAAAGCATTAGGGAGACCAGTTGTCTTATCCACTGAATAGAAAAAAGATATATACACTGGATACCACTATCCACCTTTTGAACAACTCGGGCCAGATTGCAAGACCTCTCTTAGTTATGCTTGTTTCTATTTCAAATGGGCAATATATCAGATCGAGCTTTCAGAGTAGTTACCTGTGCACGCCAAGCCATCACCCGTATATCCCGTCGAGCAACGACATCTATAGGAGCCAAGAGAATTTGTACAGACAGCATTTTGGTGACAGTGGTTGTTGTCTCCTGCGCATTCATCAAAATCTTGTTTGAAAAAAGAAATAACAAACAAACAAAGAAAAAACAAACAAAAAGCAGTTAGAAACCAAGTGTAAAACGGAAAAAAAAGTCAATAAAAAGGATCCTCGCTGACTCCAAAAGGGCACATCTCTGAATCAGTTCAATCGTCCTCTTTTTCTCTCACCCTTCCATTATCTGGAATTGCCACGTCTATAATTTGGCAGTTGTTCTCTTTTTTGTCAATGATCAATAGATCCGGTCTCCTAGCCTCAATTTCATGGTCTGTACCTATACTAAATTTATTTACTTATTTAAAATTTATTTATTTATTTATTTATTATTATTATTATTATTATTATTATTATTATTATTGTTATTGTTATTGTTGTTATGTATACACTTTCAGTGTTCAACTGGTTGCTAGTTCTCGGTACAGGTCACGTCTTCCAACACTAGTAGTCGAGAACCCGTCGGAGGATTCGTGCTGTCCCTAATAGGACAGTCTTTTGAATCTGAGCGACATCAAGATTCACCCCAGTGCTTTCAAATAGTGGTAGTAGTTCGTTCCTTGTTTTGTTTTTTTGTGTTTTGTTTTCGCACCCTATCACACATTTTTGGCGAATGTGTTGCTACAGAAAAAAATTTGCTCTCGTCGGTTTCTTTTTTTCTGTTCTTTTTTCTTGGCCATTTTCAAAAGAACTTAAGAATTTGTAATTTCACTCGCGCTACAGTTTCTGTACAAATATGCACTTGTGTTGCAGTACAGATGCACTCCTTTATGGCCAATCAGAGTTTAATAATAATAATAATAATAATAATAATAATAATAATGATAATGATAATGATGATGATAATGATGATGATAATGATAATGATAATGATAACGATAACAATAATAATAATAATAATAATAATAATAATAATAATAGGCTCCACAGTACCTTCTGAACAAGTGTAGTTATGGCAGGTCTCACAGCTCACGTCGTTCCACATAAAACTATGTCCTACTCCCAAGGTGTGAACGCAGTCTTCATTGTTGAAGTTGTTGGGCTGGTTCTTAGCCCAGTAAGTGAAATTGTTTGTTTGATTATCTGCCCAGACAAAAGTTCCCTCCGTACCCCTATCGTTTAGCCCAATCCAGCCCTTGGCGCCATTCATCCTATGTTGAATATAGACGTTCTCTTCTTGGTTTCGTACACTGATGAGATTAGCGCTGTATGATTGGCAAGTACTCTGGGCTTCAGTCCAGTTCTTACATGTTTGACTGGTTGAGTAGCAAATGCCACCAAAATATGACCAACCAGGTTTACATACATCTGCAGGAACAAAGCAATGAAAGGTTAACGAGGTTAAATCCATATTTTAATATACAGCTATTTCGAGAAAGGTTGTCGGAAAAAGAGCACGCGACAATCCCAAAAGGTATTTTGAGCAGTTTTGAGCGACACTGTTCTTCAAAGAAATTTGAAAGAATGGCACGGGATGTTTGCGATGTTATGTTTGCGAGTGCTAAAGGAAAGCAACAAAAGTAGGTTCGACAGCTACAGTCGTTAGGAACAACATATTGATCATATCCCAGATTACCTTTCGGGATTGTTACGTGCACATTCTTTCCGACAACCTTTCTCGAAATAACTGTATATGGTCGATTCCCGATAACTCGAAGGGAAGTCCGCGAAAAAAAGTTTGAGTTATCGGAAGTTCGCGTTGTCGAAAGTTCGGGGAAAATAACTGAAAATAAGGAAAAACGGTTTTTCAAGGTGGTGACTGGTAAGACAGTTGGCTTTGGGGAAGGAATGCAATGCAAGTACTACGCACACTTCACTTCCAAGGCCGTATATTGACATTTTGAAAAAAAAAAGAATTTTAAAAAGAAAAAAGCTTCATTAATATACAGGGTTGGACACTGTATTTAAACTGGTCAGGATTGAAAACCTAAAAAAGTGAAGAAAAAGTATACACTGTTGCTATAAAATAGGTTCTGATCAATGTTCGGACTGCGGTTCACGGTGTTTTTTGTCCCTGTGGACTTTACTCTAAATAAGAGAGAATTCAAAGATGCCATTCATTTGAGATATGATGGCAACTAAGCGACACCCCGTCTACTTGTGCGTGTGGAGATGTTTTCGATGTAGACCACACCATAGTGTGCAGACGAAGAGGCTTCATCATTCAAAGACATAACGAGTTACGTGATTTGGAAGCCGAAATGTTAGAAGATGATGCAATGACGTCCAAATTGAGCCTGTACGTCAGGAGATAAACGGAGAAGTGCTGACACCTGGTACGAAGAGAGCAGCGGATTCCCGGCTCGACATTCACGCTCGTGGTTTTTTGGAGCGGCAAGACTCTGCCTTTTTCGACGTTAGGGTTTGTTACCCGAATGCAGTGTCTTATAAAGGCCTCATCACAAAACAAATCTACCCCCAGCATAAGAGTGAGAGGAAAAGAATGTGCGCCAGCAGGGTGCTAGAAGTCGAACAAGGCTCCTTCACTCCACTGGTATTTACTACCACCAGGGCCGAGTTGTTCAAAGCTGGGTTAAGATAACCCAGGTTTAGTGCGAGATTTGAATTCAGATTTGAAAGCTTAAAAAGCATTTCAGTTTTAATCCTTTTTGTCTACAAGTTGATGATTGGAAGCTCTAAAAAAAGCATAGAAAATTATCAGAGAAAAACCCCGGGTTAAGCGCTAATGGGCTTTCGAACGACTGGGCCCAGAAGAATGGCAGGTGAATGCAAGAGGTATCACAGTAGACTGGCTAAACTCTTATCAGCCAAGAAAGGAGAGGATTATAGTAATACAATGTCATGGATTCGCCTTCCTGAGGCTTGCACTGTTGTGCCTGAGAGGCTCATGTTGTACGCGCTGAATATTACAGACTAGTAACGACTTTGAAATTGGAACTAGCGAGATTTTTTTTTTCTAACTTTTGATATTTTTCACATTTAAGATTGGTATTTTTTTGCTCAATTTATTCTTCTCCTTTGTTAATTTTATGTTAATTAACAATTAGTCCAAGAAACGTTCGGAGGCTTTAAAGAATACATTTATAAGAAGACTCAGTTTATTTTAAATGTAACTCCGTTTGTAGATTATTTATATTTTCTGTCTTATTCTCCTTCATTTACTAGTTTTTTCTCCATTTCATATAGCTTTCCTCTTATCGAATTTGTAAGAGGGTGTGAATGGGGTTAACCGACTAGCGACAAAGGGCGAAAAATATTACTGACTACCGACAAAACGAGTAAAAAATTACCGACTACCGACAGGAAAAATATTAACCGACTACCGACTTAGGCTGACATTATCAATATTTGTTTACAGAAAAAAAGGGCATTTTGCATTTTTTTTCCTAGCCGTTAGGAAGTAACCTCTTTAAATTTATGACTCATTAGATGGTCTAACAGAAAGAACTTCCTCTTTTGTTGATACGGGTACATTACTACAACTAATGTCATAATCACAGAAACCACACCTTAAAGATGCTACCGACTTTATAAATTTTAACAGTGCTCACATGGTGGGTGGCTTCTCCTAAAATGTTCTGCAATTGGTATAGGATTTAATGGAAACCAATTGTGGAATTGCACGCATTTTAGGCATCCTGCTGATGAGCAGTTGCGACGCGTAGATATATATTTTTTAGCAGCTAAGATAATTTGCAGTCTGTCTACTTTGAATTGAAAAGACAAAGGTGAAAAAACTGAGCGTTTCTTGTCTCGGTCCGAAAAATGCTTAGAATAATCCTCAAAGAAAATTATTTCCAGCTTAATGAAAAGCACAATATATAGTAAAAAACCACGGTACCGCGATGAGCACATACAGCAGTTTTCTTTCCAACATTTTCATGGCCGCATACATTGAAACACAAAGTTAAGCAAAACGGTCTTAAAACCAACTGTTTGAAAAAGCTATATAGATGATACTTTTTCCCTATGGGACATAGGTAAACCAGACATGGTAGATTTCTTCAAATTCACGGATCAAGTAAACTTACTTCACCCTACCGCTCTACTGGCAATAAAATTAACGGCCGAAATATCCGACACTGAGACAATCGTTTTAGACCCGGTTGTATACCAAGGCACAACATTCAACGAAAAATGAGGAAAAGCTATCATTGACGTAAAGACGCATTTTAAACGGAAACCTTCCAGTATATACATTTTCACCTCTTACCACCCACCAATTGTTAAAATGGATTTGACAAACAGGAAGCCTTGAGAATCCTACGAACAAACTCCTCGGAGGAAGTATTTCAGATTTCAAAAACCGGTTGATGGACAGAGGCTGGCCACACAATTTTGAAATAAAAATTGCTATTAGAAGTAAAACTCACAGAAGGAAAGCAGCGCTCCTGAAACAAAACAACAAGGAAGAAAAAGAAGTATTGTCTTTCGTGACACAATACAAGCCCTTCATTGACTATTATGAAAGAAGCTTTAATGAAAAAGTGTAATCTCATACAAAACCAAACACTACCTTGCCAAATTAACCCTCGGACGTACACACAAAATCATACCCCCCACCATGGTACAAGAGGAGGGTAGATGGAGCCCCTCCCCAGAGTTTTTGATTTTGCCTTTACTGAAAAGCCTTTGATCTTCTTAACAAGATGAGGTATATTTTATGAATGGTGGCACTGCTGGAGGCCTGTTACGTCACCAACAATGGTCGCCATCTTTGCCGCCATCTTGATTTTACCAAGAATTAGAAATCAGGTTAAAACAACGAGAAATGGTAATTGCTTGACATGAATAATAACACATAAATAAGCACTTTGCATGATTTTGGCTGCAAGATTTTTCTTTTATTGTTGAAAAAAGTTGAAAAAGAGACATTCTCACTCAAAATGGCTTGACCACCTGCTACTTATTACGTCATACCTCGTAACCATAGAAACTGATCATCACTGAACTTGTCTCAAAATGCGTGCGAGGGATAAACAAACATCTACTGAAAACGACAGGTGCTGATGTTTTATCCTCTTGGAAAAATCCCAGAAAAACCTAAAGGGGGGGTATCCACCCCCTACCCCTTGTACGTCCGAGGGTTAAAGTGTTATTTCTTTGAGAAAGGAAAATTATGGCCAAGGACATGCTTGTTAGAGCCAAAACATTAAAGGTATAGACGTGCAGCCTGTCACCCCTTGCAGTTTTTCACTAAGAATTTTTTAAGCCAGTATCCAAAAGGCTGGAGTCCATTAATTAATTAATTGCTTTTTACTGTGCCCTGTAATCGACAGGGAAACCAAGTTCGCATTTACAATAAAAGGTTTGGTGATTTTATCAGTACTCATGATATTCATTTGGCAAACAATGGTGAAATAAACGATCATTTTGCATAAACAAACAAGAGTTAATGAAGTTCAATCAAATGATGCATTCTTACAAGTTTTACTCTTTCCTTAGGGATCAAAGTCTTGAAACTGGGTGAAATACATAACCATATTAATAATTAACAAGCGTTTTTACTTATCAACTGAGATTTTCCGACAACCGACAACCGGCAAGTGGACCCCCCTATTCAGACCCTCTTGTAACATCAGGTATGAGTTTTTATCTGGTACAGCCAGACCCCGCTTTACGGACAACTAGTTATTACGGACAGTTTTCCTTGTCCCTGGGGAATGTCAGCCCTCATATTTTCTCTAAATTCAACCCGCTTAATACGGACACCCCGTTAATACGAACACTTTCTATGGCCCCCTTGGTGTCGGTATTAACGGGGTTTGACTGTAATCAATCAATAAATTATAAAAATTTATAATAATAGTAATAATAATAATAATAATATTACTAATGATAATAATTGAAACTTATATAATTGAATTAATTCAAGTGTCCGTGGTCATTGTAATTGCAAAGGAAGATTTTTTTTCCGCCGTCTAACCCACCTGCTAGTACTGCGTAGGTCACGTTCACAGGATCATGCTGGTTAGCGTACAACTCCTTGAGACAAATGCGGAATTCGCCAGTCTTAATGTGCTGCAAAATAAATAATATCCTATTTATGACATGTATATTCGCTTCAAACGCAAAACTCTTTCTCAGCACAAAACGAATCAAGAGTTCTCATTTCCAGCGAGGGATCTTATCCAGGGCACCGTTCCCATGTCATTTTCTACGGGAAAAAAAGGCCTGTGAAGAACAGGGCGAAACATCATCAACAAAAATAAACGCTATGAAGTATTGCTAGAATAAAAACGAATAACAAATTTAGCAAAAATTAAGACTTACGAAGAAAAAATTAGGGAAGGTCCTCTAGAAGCCTGCAAATATCGCAAAAATCGCAAAAAGTCAGAAGAACTTTTATTCAGCAGCAACAACAAAAACAAAACACGCTAACAAATTACGCAATATAGCAATTTGCGCAAAAGTTCAGACTTTTAAAGGATAACAAAAAAATATTCTTGTTGTTTTTGCGATTTTTTGCAAAATTTGCGGACTTCTTGAGGCTGTAGCTTTGTCTTTTTTCTTTTCAAGTCTAGAATTTTATTTAATTTGTTATTCTTGCTATTCTTGCGATATTTTAAATAACCAAAAAAAAATATTGCTACCTTTGCGATTTTTGCGAAATATGACAAACTTCTTGAGGCCCTTCTTGGCTTTTCTCTTTCTAAATTTGATATATTTTTGTAATATTTGTTGCTTAGTCTTTTTGTATAACAAAGAGACTCTTCCCTCATAAGAATATACACAAAAAGCAACATGGGTGTTGGTTTTGAAACGTGATTTCTTTTCATTATCCCTTATTGGTGCATGAACGTGCTTACGGTAGTTATTATAAATCGATTATCGCCTACATAAATGATGATTTTTATTGATAAGCCCACGGCTACTTCCCCAGCCCTTTTTTGTTATGTCCGCCTGGGAAATACGTAATAATTTCTAGATCGTTTTCAAGCACGTTTTCTTTATTACAAATTTAGCGTTTTCATCTTAGTTAGTTCAGTTCTAGTGTAGACTTCATGGTGTTAACTTCTGTCAGCCATTGGGGCTTCATTTCTATCTACACTCGTGCTCATCAACTATCAAGTTCAGCTTAGCTTTTGATTCAAGATAACACTGGTGTGTGTGTAAACCAAAGTGAGTATAGTTTTCCTTTTCTGTTTTAGTTTTTTCAGTATCGATTTCATCATAGGAATTATAGAGCTTAGTTTTGGTTATCAATTTGCAACATCGTTGTTGTAATCTTTTCTGTTTATGTGAGGAATCTATTTAGTCTTGTCATCACTGAGCTACAGTGGTTTTAAGGGTCTTATGCGCTACTCTTCAACATGAGTATGCTGAGTGATTGATACCAGCAGTTTTATCGTCGTATTACTTTAATAACTTTATAGGCTGATTTAATGTATTTTCTAGTGTTATTTAGTTCTCGTTCGCTATTTGGTATCATCGGTTTTTAGTCAGATATATTTGCACTCTATGTATTTTTTAGCTAAGTTTTCGTTCGATTTTATCGTTTTCAGTTCAAACCGACTTTGTACGACTTGTACCGATTTCACAACTTAAGGACCTTTTGTCTTGTCAATCGACCCCGTCGATTCTTCTGTACCAAGTTGTGACCTCTGTGCTAGGAACATTGATCTCTGGTTCAATATATCTGTTCATGTTACTTCCTTCACTCCTCGTCGAGTTCGTTTTATGTCGCGCACCGTGTTAAGTGGTTTACTTGGATTTTTGGTTCTGGTATTCTGTCCTTGTAAATTACATTTTGTTCGAATTTGATGCACATCCTCCTTTCACGAATCTTCCAACCGTGAAGGAATTCCAAGAATCTGTCACGTCACGCACGTCATATCCGCGTTACGTTTTTAGACCCGTCAGTCGTCTGCTTGTCCCGCTAAATTGATTCTTTTTAGAGAATTCGAATGTCCACGTACTATTTTAATTAAACAACAACAACATCACATTTTCTTTATGGATGTCCCGGAGCTTTTCTCTATTCCACCCCCCAACCCAACAACTAGAGGATGTTGACGCGCCATTTGTTTTTTTAATTCTTCTTATTTGTTTTAATGACATTGATTGCATCGATTATTACCTTTCCCCCAAAAAAAATTGGAAAAAAAAAATGTTACCCTCGACCCTCGACATGGTACCCTCGCCCTCGACATGGAACCCTCGACCCTCGACAAAAAGATAGCCTCATTAAAATTGGTTCGTAGTTCCGCCGAGGCGCATGTATCTCAAAAGGTAAACAAACTGAACGAGTTAATGGCAGAATGCGAAAACATCGAGGCACTTAACGAAGTTCGCGAGGAATTGCAGCAAGTCCTTCAGGAATTTCAGGTTGCGCACGAAGCTTATCACAGTCTCCTAAAAACTGAATCAGAACAGGAGGAGTCCTCACGATATTACAATTCAGTGCTCGAAATTGTATCAGAACTGGAACAGGAAATCACTTCATGGCTTAACAAGCCAGCACTTCAAACTTCAGTAACGCCAATAAACGTTCGACCACGCGATTCCGTTAGCACCGTTGGGTCACGAGTATCCTTTCATACGCGTTCCGTCGCCAGTAGTTCAGCCAGCTCAAAGGTTAAGGCGGCCGCGAGAAAGGCAGCACTTGAGGCTCGGGCAGCTGCCCTTCAAAACCTGCACGAGCTTCAAATCGAAGAAATGAGACTCCAGCAAAGAAAGGCACAGATAGAGCTTGAAGCTGAGATAGCCGAGGCTGAGGCCGAAAGGAAAGCTTATGAAGAAAATGAAGCAATCGAGCGTCGAGAGATCAGTTCCCGCTCAAACGTAAGGGATCCAAATGACCATTCACCCCAGCTAACTCCACAAGCCAAGACCGCCTCTACTCCGCGAGTGGGAAGGTACCACAGGCAACCCAACTCCTAAACAGACCTTTCCAGCAGCTACTCCTTCGCGTGAACATCTCAATAAGCATAACGATGAGTCAATATCACTGAAGCGTTCTCTGAATCCTCGCGCTCACGAATGGTATCCCACAACCAGTCCAGTTCAGCAACACGTTTCTCCAGATTATAATCGTGCAAATAGCCTCCAAGATGAGTCATTCCAGCGTCTGATAGGAAACAACGAGCGTCAAAATCAAGCCATCCAGCAGCTTATTCAGCAGCAACAGCAAGGTGTGTTAGCGCTCACCTTACCGCAGCCGAGTCTGCAAGTGTTCAGCGGCGACCCTATCGACTATTGTGACTTTGTGCGCGCCTTTGAACACATCGTAGAAAGAAAAACCTTGCGTTCAAGTGCACGTCTCTACTATCTTGTACAGTATACTTCTGGAGCCGTACAAGAATTAATGAAAAGCTGTCTCTCCATACGCGAAGAAGAAGGATATACAGAAGCAAGGAGACTGCTTCAAGAACGCTATGGGCAGAATTATAAGATTGCCGCCGCACACGTAAAAAGGCTAGTAGATGGCCCAACAATCAGAACTGACGATGGACCAGCTTTACAACAGTTTTCTATTCAACTAACTAGCTGCGTTAATACGTTGAAGGAAATCAGCTACCTAAATAAGCTCGATAACCCAGACAACCTGAAGAAGATTATAGACAGGCTTCCTTATTCTATGAGAGTTAAGTGGCGAGATACGGTCGACCAGATCGTAGAGAGGGAAGCGAGAGATGTCACCGTGGCCGATATAATGAAGTTTGTAACTGCCAAGGCAAGAGCAGCATCTCACCCGATCTTTGGAAACGTCTCTAGCGAAGGCAAGACAAAGCAGCTCCCTAGCAAACAAAGGACGAGAGGTCCTAAGGCTGACACGTTCCCATCTCTCGGGAAGCAAGAAGATAGCCAGTCAGAAAACAAGAAACCAGAGTGTCCTTTGTGTAGCGCCGATCATTGGTTACCGCGGTGCGATAAGTTTCGTAAGCAGTCCTTAGAAGAAAGGCAAAAGCTAGTCCGAGAAAGGCAGCTTTGTTCTAATTGTCTCTTCCCCGGTCACTTCGTTCGTTCATGCCAGAAAGAAAGCTTCTGTAGGGTCAGAGGTTGTACATCCAAGCATTCAACCTTCCTCCACCAAAACAGCAACAAGAACAGTTCTAAAAACTCTGGCGAAAACAGTGCCAGCTCGAATCGAGCTTCAAACTCTGAGCCGAAGCCTAACAGTAACGCTAATCCAGCAGCAAGCAACGGCTATGCCAAGTTAAGCTTTTCCGCAAGTACGACCGTCACAGGACTCGCAATACTCCCTGTTTGCGTAAAGGCAAAGGATGGTAAGGATGCAATTCAGACTTACGCCTTCTTGGACTCTGGTTCCAATACCTCCTGTTGCACTGAAACTTTGCTTCAAAAGCTAAATATCAAGGGAAAGAAAACAAACCTTTCTCTTACAACACTTCAAGGAGAAAACGAACCGATCAAAAGCTCAATGATCAGTCTCCTGATGTCAGATCTTCACCAAGAAAATTCCTTCGAAATTCCAATGGTTTACTCCAGGCCTAGTCTTCCTGTTTCCCGTGAAACCATAGCAACGCAAGAAGATGTTAATCGTTGGCCTCATCTCAAGGGAGTGACCATACCGCAAATTGAAGCTGAGATTGGCCTTCTCATCGGTAGCGACGTGCCTCAACTATTACAGCCACAAGAAATTAGAAAGAGCGAAAACGGAGGACCATTCGCAACTAAAACAGTCCTTGGCTGGGTCCTTAACGGTCCCCTGGGAAGAGACACGCCCAAGTCACTGACGGTCAACTTCAGCATTCAAGCCAGCAAGTCTTTAGAGGAGCAGTTTCGCGATTACCGCAACCAAGAATTTAACGACTCCAACCTAAATTCCAAGGCATCTATGTCGCTGAACGACCGAAGAGCGTTGGACATAATGGAAGAAACTCTTCAGCTGAAGAACGGCCACTATGAAATTGCTCTCCCATGGAAAATGTACCCTCCAAACTTAGTAAATAACAGATCAGTTGCCGAGCGCCGTCTAAGTCTTCTGAAGAAACGACTTAAAAGAGAACCGCTAGTTCACGAGAAATATAGAGATTTTATGGACGATCTATTAAAAAAGGATTATGCCAGAAAAGTCAACTGCCAAGACATAGGACCACTAGGCACTCACTGGTACCTCCCTCATCATCCAGTGTTTCACCCGAAAAAGCCAGATAAAGTCAGAGTGGTTTTCGACTGCTCTGCGAAGCATCTTGGCACCTCGCTGAACGACCAGCTGTTACAGGGGCCGGACCTGACTAACTCTCTTGTCGGCGTCCTCTCTCGACTCAGAGAAGAACAAATCGCACTAATGGCTGACGTGGAGGCAATGTTTCATCAGGTACGCGTCCGACCAAGCGACTGCGATGCGCTTCGGTTTCTATGGTGGCCAGACGGTAACCTCGACAATGAGCCACAGGAGTACCAGACGAGAGTTCATCTATTTGGAGGCGCGTCTTCTCCAAGTTGCGCAAACTTCGCTGTGAAGAAGACAGCACAAGACAACAAGACCGAACTTGATCTTGAAACCATCGAGACTGTAGGGCGCAACTTCGACGTCGATGACTGTCTCAAGTCAGTCAGCTCCGAAGAACTGGCCGTCAACCTTTCAAGTCAATTGTGTGAACTTCTCGCTCGAGGAGGATTCAAACTTACTAAGTGGCTCTCCAATTCACGTAAAGTCATCGAGTCCCTGCCAGCTTCGGAAAGAGCTGCGCAAGTTAAAGATCTAGACTTCGAGAAATTGCCAGTTGAAAGAGCGCTTGGTGTTCAATGGAATATATCGTCCGATCAATTCGGATTTAGAATTGTCATCAAGGACAGACCGGCGACAACAAGAGGGATTTTATCTATCGTGAGCTCAGTTTATGACCCCCTCGGATTTGTCGCGCCGTTCATACTCAACGCCAAGCTTATTTTGCAAGACCTATGCCGCAAGAAATTAGACTGGGACGACGTTATTCCTGAAGACATCATGCGTCGCTGGCAGGCCTGGTTACAAGAACTTCCTAAACTAGAACAAGTTGCCATCGACCGCTGCTTTAAACCACCCAACTTCGGAGAGGTCAGTTCGACCCAGCTGCACCACTTTTCCGACGCGTCACAACAGGGTTATGGCGCTGTAACTTACCTCAGAATTACAGACCGCAGTGGTAATACTAAGTGCTCGTTCGTTATGGGCAAATCAAGACTCGCACCAATGAAATCAGTAACCGTTCCCAGAATGGAGCTTTCAGCAGCTGTCGTAGCGACCAGGCTGGACACGATGTCACGCAAGGAACTCAGTCTTCCTATTTCTGAATCGTTCTTCTAGACCGACAGCACTTACGTCCTGCGTTACATTGAAAATGAAGACAAACGATTTCAAACATTTGTGGCAAATCGAATAGCAACCATTCCCGAAGCATCCTCTCCGGACAAGTGGCGATACGTAAACACTCAGTTAAATCCAGCGGACGACGCGTCAAGAGGTGTGTCAGCAGACTCTCTTCATCGTTGGATTCACGGCCCAGAATTCCTGATTCAGCCAACTGATGAATGGCCACAGCGACCTGCTGACATGATTGCTCTCATAACTGACGACGATCCGGAGGTCAAGGCAGAAATAGCTACTTACTCGACCAGAACCTCTACTCGCGATCCCGTCGCTGAGATCACAGAAAAGTTCTCTTCGTGGTCTCACCTCAAGAAACTGGTGGCCTGGATTCTTCGCTACAAGACAAACCTATACAATCTGGTGAAGAACGAAAGGCACAAAGAACCACCTAAGAGCAAGTCGCGAAGTAAAAGCAGCACAATCAGTCCTATCAGTGTTACAGAGCTGAAAAACGCCGAGTCTACGATCCTCAAGTACATTCAGAATAAATCCTTCAAGCAAGAGTACGACCAACTGAAACGTTCAGATCAGCAGTCAAGCACAAGAAATCACAGCGACCTGAGTAAGTCCAGCAGTATCTACAAGTTCGATCCAGTTCTCGTTCAGGGCCTTCTACGAGTTGGAGGTCGCCTAAATCGAGCACCGCTCAACGCCGACGTCAAGCACCCAATTATTCTACCCAAAGGTCATCACGTGGTCCAGCTTATTATCCAATACTACCACCACGTTTCTGGTCATTCGGGCGTCGAATATACATTGTCTCTTATCCGTCAGAAGTACTGGATCATCAACGCAAGGTCGACTGTACGAAAAGGTCTGGAAAAGTGCTTCGCCTGCAGAAAGCAACAAGCACCCACAGGTCAGCAGAAGACAGCAGATCTACCTGAAGATCGAGTGACGCCCTGAAAATCGCCTTTCACCTACACGGGCGTTGACTGCTTTGGGCCTTTTGAAGTTCGTCGCGGAAGATCTAAGGTAAAGAGATACGGCGTTATATTCACCTGTTTGGCTCTCCGTGCAGTACACATTGAAGAAGCAATCTCACTGGACACAGAGTCTTTTATCAACGCCTTACGGAGATTTATTTCAAGGAGAGGTCAACCCGAAGAGATCCGTTCTGACAATGGAGGCAACTTCGTACGGGGCGAAAAAGAACTTCGTGATGCAGTCAATAGCTGGAATCAGTCTCAGATTCACGACTACCTTCTCCAGCGCAACATCAACTGGACGTTTAACCCACCTGCTGGTTCTCATCATGGTGGAGTGTGGGAGCGATGCATCCGCACAGTGCGCAAGGTCTTAAGGGCCTTAACGAAAGAGCAAGTACTTGCCGACGAGGGCCTGACAACTCTGATGTGTGAAGTCGAAGCCATAGTAAACGGGCGGCCCATCACTAAAGTTTCAGACGATCCCTGTGATTTGGAACCTTTGACACCCAACTATCTGCTTCTGCTGCGAGCGGGACCTTCCGTTCCCCCTGGTACCTTCTCTAAGCAAGACTGTTACAGCAAACGCCGCTGGCGTCAAGTACAGTACCTCGCAGATGTGTTTTGGCGACGCTGGGTACGCGAATATCTTCCCTCTCTTCAAGAACAGCAGAAATGGCACAAGCAGCAGAGGAATGTTGCAGTGGATGATGTTGTGTTAGTGCTTGATGAAAGCAAACCTCGTAATTCCTGGCCACTTGCGCGGATCCTGGAAGTGTACCCCAACCGCCATGATGGTCTTGTGCGATCCGTTAAGTTGAAGACAAACACTTCCGTACTTCACAGACCTGTTGACAAGTTAGTCCTACTGGAGACGGCAGCTCCACCAAGCAAGGATTAATATCAGCTATGACATTTTTAGTTCAGCCTTTAAGGAGCCGGAATGTTGGTTTTGAAACGTGATTTCTTTTCGTTATCCCTTATTGGTGCATGAACGTGCTTACGGTAGTTATTATAAATCGATTATCGCCTACATAAATGATGATTTTTATTGATAAGCCCACGGCTACTTTCCCAGCCCTTTTTTGTTATGTCCGCCTGGGAAATACGTAATAATTTCTAGATCGTTTTCAAGCACGTTTTCTTTATTACAAATTTAGCGTTTTCATCTTAGTTAGTTTAGTTCTAGTGTAGACTTCATGGTGTTAACTTCTGTCAGCCATTGGGGCTTCATTTCTATCTACACTCGTGCTCATCAACTATCAAGTTCAGCTTAGCTTTTGATTCAAGATAACACTGGTGTGTGTGTAAACCAAAGTGAGTATAGTTTTCCTTTTCTGTTTTAGTTTTTTCAGTATCGATTTCATCATAGGAATTATAGAGCTTAGTTTTGGTTATCAATTTGCAACATCGTTGTTGTAACCTTTTCTGTTTATGCGAGGGATCTATTTAGTCTTGTCATCACTGAGCTACAGTGGTTTTAAGGGTTCTTATGCACTACTTTTTAACATGAGTATGCTGAGTGATTGATATCAGCAGCTTTATCGTCGTATTACTTTAATAACTTTATAGGCTGATTTAATGTATTTTCTAGTGTTATTTAGTTCTCGTTCGCTATTTGGTATCATCGGTTTTTAGTCAGATATATTTGCACTCTATGTATTTTTTAGCTAAGTTTTCGTTCGATTTTATCGTTTTCAGTTCGAACCGACTTTGTACGACTTGTACCGATTTCACAACTTAAGAACCTTTTGTCTTGTCAATCGACCCCGTCGATTCTTCTGTATCAAGTTGTGACCTCTGTGCTAGGAACATTGATCTCTGGTTCAATAAATCTGTTCCTGTTACTTCCTTCACTTCTCGTCGAGTTCGTTTTATGTCGCGCACCGTGTCAAGTGGTTTACTTGGATTTTTGGTTCTGGTATTCTGTCCTTGTAAATTACAATGGGTACTCGCCAAATAGGATAACCAGGAATCAGATAGATCACGTACTCATTAATAAAAGATTTAGGAATTCAGTGAAAGACACTAGGGTTTACAGGTCTGCGGACATCGGAAATGAAAACACCTTGAAGACATTTAGCATAGCCCTGAAGAACAGATATCAGGCACTTGAGGATGAAGGGCTAAAAATAGAGGAAGACGACGAAATATAGCGTGACTTTCAAGTGATGGAGAGGGCGTACCCTGAGGTTGCAGAAAGAGTTCTAGGTAGACCAGGAAAGTGGAAGAACCATTTACCAGTGACGCATCATGGAAACTTGTAGAGCAAAGGGAGGAAATCAATAAAAAGATTCTCAGTACACGATCAGAAAGGGTCAAGAGACAACTAAGGGCGAGGTATACAGAAAAGTACAGAGAAGTTAAGAGGAGTATAAAAGTGGATAAAAGAAAGTGGATGGAGAACGTTGCAGATGGGCAGAAGAAGCTGCAAGGAGCCAACACATAAGACACTATATGAGCTTACAATGACGTTATGAAATAAAAGATCGAGACAGAGCACAATGGTTCTAGACAAGAATGAAACCCTCATCAGTAGTAACAGTGAAGTAAAGGCAAGATGGACGTAACACTTTAAGGAGGTGCTTAATAGAAAAGCACCAGCAAATCCAATAACTGATGATCGGGACGATGACGTCCATGACAAAGTAGAGGAGATAGCAGTAGACAACCTAGCAGTAGGCAAAGTCAAGGCAGCGATAAAAGGATTATAAAATGGGAAAGCACCGGGAATGACTCCATAACAGCAGAGTTACTGAAAGCAGACATAGAGTTTTCATCAGAAAAAAAAATATATCAACTGATGAAGAAAATATGGCAGTATGAGAAGATCGCGAAGAGTTGGAGGCGAGGGCTCATCATCAAACTAGCAGAGAAAGGAAATACCAAACACTGCAAGAATTGGAGAGGCATAACCTTACTCTCTGTTGTGGGAACGATACTATCCAGGATTATTATCGATAAGGATAAGAAGTGAAGTCGATGACACATTATATAAGGAAAGAACAGGAAGGATATATAAAAGGCAGGGGGACGACAGAACAGGTATTTGTAGAGGTTTGTACTGCGGAACATCATTGAGCAGGTTAATGTGTGGCAAGCAACACTTTCTGAACTTCATAGATTTTGAAAAGGCCTTCGACTCTATGCACCGAGAAAGCATGTGGACAATCATGAAGAAATACGGAGTCCAAGAAAAGATCATTAGGATGGTAAAAATATTCTATGAAGACTTCAAGGGTGCTGTAGAAGACCAAGGGCAACTAGGCAAGTGGTCTGACATAAAAACCGGCGTCAAACAGGGATGTAACATGTCACGTTTTTTTGTTCTTGATTGTTATGGATTTTTGCGAAATTTGCCGACTTCTCGAGGCCCTTCTTGGCCTTTTCCCTTTATGAGTCTAGAATTTTGTCAAATTTGTTACGCTCGTTATTTCTGCGATATTTGCGAGTAAGTGTTCGCAAATTTTCTTGTGATTCATATCTATGCTAAAACTGCGAAAAAAAAAATGGCTAAAAAGGGAATTTTTGTGTGACTGTGTTCATTCCAGGATAGAAGAAAACATATTTTTGCAACTGCGCGCTCAGACGTTTTGGTGGCTGCCTCAAAATCAAAAATGACGAATTTGTGAGAGATCATGTGGTCTCACAAAACTTCTTTTCACAATTCTTTACTCTCATATCGACAAATTGTATTATTTACAAAATGTTTTTAGTGATAAAGATAAAAATGTGACTACCGTACTGGTTTTGAGTTCTTTCGCCTAAAGGCCTGCCATAAGGTCGCTTTCTTGCTAACACGAAATTACTGAAACTCTTGAAATTTGCAGGGAGCAGGCGAAACTACTTTTGGAAACACAATGTGTTAGATTTAAATAACAATGGTTGATAAACTGAAAGTTCTACGCGGAATAAGCCTTGGCTTAAGTTGATACATGTACATTATTTTACAGGGCTTAACTTCCTAAGGGCATTTCAGATCTGACATATTTATTTATTTACTTATTTTTTGGCATTCTGAACTCGTAAATATAACATACAACAACTACATCTTTCCATACCTCAATCCATGCAGTAACAGACATGTGTGTTGGTTTCAGATTGCTGCCCTCGGAGTTGTGACTGGCTGCTATTATTATTATAGGTTCTTTGTCGTAATTTCTTGCAAACTGCAAATCCTAAGGATAGAAAACGATGGCTGTTAATATGATACTGGAAATAAAATTAAAATTATTATTTTTCCTTTGATACTTGGTGATAGGTGTCGAAAACTAGTCTTGTGAAGTATATTGAAAATTGATTTTTAGATCTGTCTATTCTTTTAAGTTTCGTTTTTGTTTCATTAAGTGGGTCAAGGTTAGTCTTGATTTGTCCACATACGTGTTTTCCTGTTTTGATCACTTGCTTTTACATGTACTTGAATTTTTGCTTAGCTCGCTAGGTGGTCGTGTTTGTGATGTTAGAGCTGACCTTGGTTCATTAGTCTCGTTGAAGTTCCTGTTTGGGTGCGTTAACCAGCGTTTTAGTTTTTCATTAGTTTGTAGCTTCTTGCCGATCGCAACCATGTCGGTTCAGTAATAACAAAACATTACCCACACCGAGTTTATCTTGATTTTATTCCCACGGTCAGCAAACCCAAACATGCCCAGCTTTGGCTATAAAAACCGCTGCTATCCCACGGCTAAAACTTAGTTAGGTCAGAGTAAGGATTGAGTAGAGAAGCAGAGTAAGAAGATTAAGATTAAGATTGTTCGCAGAAGTCAAAGAAGAATAAAGACCAAGATGTAAATAAGATCCCTGGTACCTCATCGTGTGGTGAGCTAGTTGCTCAATCACACCCCAACGCTAGCTACGATTTTTCTCGAGGAATGGCCTGCGAGCAGGGTCAAGTGTGCGAGTTCGAGGGAAATTTTGGCGGCATAGCCGCCAGTGCAAAATTTTCCCCCGCACTCGCACAAGCCGGAGCCTCCTAAAAGGAGTACTGTTGTGAAGGTGGTGATAGTAATAGAAAACACCGCTTTACAACATAGTATGTGAAACATGGAAAACCTGTTGCATAGCTTTTTTATCTGTTAAATTGCTGAAGAACATAAAACATGCCAACGGATTATCGTAAAATTACAGAACGAGCTCGCTTCCTACCTTACAAAATGCACCATTGTAGTTTGTAGAAACAGGGCTGTTGTTTGGAAAATTCACTTGTTTGCTCTCGGCAAAAAGGGGCCGGTGGATTGTTTCAAAGACCATCCAATTCTGAAAAAGTATTACAACATAGCTGCATAAACGCATCCAATTAGCAAGAAAACGTGCATCTGGTTTTGCAAATCTCTTTTTTAGCCAATTTCATGCCAATTGGTCAAAACTGAACAGGTCCAAAAATTTGGATTTGGTTAAAAAAGCGTTTTTTTCCGCTACAGAGTGGCCGTTTCCAGGACTCTGAACACTTAGTTGTCTTTAACGGCAGTCATTTAAGAGCTAAAGCGTTCCTGGCTGGATTATTGAAGATTTGATTAGCAATCACTTGTTGTGAAATGGAGTCTAAAATTTGAAACACAGTGCTGGCTGCTCTTTTTCTCAGAAGAATATGAAAATAAGACTATGGAATTTTTTATCAGCCCCAGCTGATGGAATATCTTCTTCCTTAACGTCCGCTTCTCTTTAACACAAGGTTCATTAAAGCCTTGCTTTCTGTGCTTTTTTCTTTAGTGTTCATAATGTATATCTCTTAAGAAAAAAAAATTTAAAATTACCACAAAGATATCTTCATGCAGACCATCATAGTTCTGCAGCTCTCGAAGACAAATGTAAAAGGAGGAACTGGTTGCGTTCTCCACCCACAAACTCGCAGCGTTGTGCTTAAAGGCTGCACTTATATGTTGTGCTGTAACCAGGATTCTTGGGGCAGTAGCAAACTTTCCCTATAAAGCAACCATTAATGAAAATCAATGAAAATCAAGAATGGAAAGTCGTATCTCCAGACTAATTAATATTGTTAACTATTAAATAACATATCCAAAACAAAGAATTAAAAAAAAATCAGAATGAAAGAATGAAACACGATCTGCATGTACGAAGTACACGACTTTTTTTCGATTTGTACATGGCCTTTCCGTATGGTGGTGAAGTGTCTGGCCCCCACGAGTTTGGCCTTGGGTTGTACAAGGCCGGTTTTGTCCGCTTCGTTTCATCGTTTCAGTTTCTGTTGGTTTATGCTTTAACCTATCTAGGCATAATTGGAAGACGAACATTTGCCATGTATACAAAATTTAGTGCATGAATGAAGGCTTGTTTTCGCACTTTTAAAGGGTTTAGCCTGCAAATAAGGGTTTAGCCTGCAAATAAAAAAAATCTTAAACATACTTTGTGCTATGGAGTCCAACTTGAAAAAAAGCATTTTTAGATCGAAATTATTTGAAGAATAAGGCATTTGACCGTGGTTCACATTGATAGGATATCTCGTCTTTTTGTTGATTTATTTTTTGCTATGCAAAACAACTTTTATGGTTTTTAAGAATAATGCAAAATATCTGAACAGCTTGATTTCGTTACAATCGGGCACCTTCCTAAGACATTAAAAACCCAGTATGGCGGCAATTGAAAAAATGATGCAATTTCCTACTTCAGCATCGAAATTGCGAGACGTACTGCCAACACCGTAAGATTCGTAATCATAGATATTACTAATGGGAGGGTGGCATGACCTCTCGCCACCTCTAGGTCCCAAAAAACAACTACCTTAAGTGCAATTCCAGAAAATGGAAACAAAATAGATAATTGCCTGGGGAAGGTTAACTTCTTCACACTGTGATCCAGTCCACCACTGTGAAATGCGTGATTTTTCCGCCACACCACCATCAGGTGCTCCTTGGTAAGCCATCCAGTCCACTGTGGCAAACTCCTTAGTAGAGCGGTCATTCCGTCCTGCTGCTGTCACGCAGACCTAAAGATACAATTCAACACATATTTGGTTAATTGAGATTTTACCTCGTAATTGCAGGTTTTTAATTACTGATGAATCGAGAATACAAACATTTTGCTCTTCGGGCTTCCTCGGTATACTTTTTTAATCACTGGATAACATTTGCAAAAGCTAAGGGCTACATATTCACAGGGAAAAAATCTGATACCAAGTTATGTATGTTACGTGTAATGTTAATTTTTGAGAATAAACAAGACATGCAGAGTAAGCAAAATTAAAATGATAAAAGTGGTACAAGTTATAAAATTACCGAAGCACAACAGGAATTAAAGAACAGTAATTAAACAGTAATTACGTCTGACTCAGCAATTAAAGGACGATTTTTTTTACAAATCGTCAATAAAAGGGATAAGAGAAATTATAAAAAGATACAAGACGAGTATGCGAATTTTTAAATCCTAGTAACTATCATCACTTGGTAGACCGCTGTCCTTTAGGATAAACTAAAACATTGTTTTCAATATTCACCTCAAAGTTTTTGTAGTTAACGGTGTGTACCCATGAAACTGTGGCGTCATGTATAAAATTTTTCCTGCTTATGTTCCAGTGATTGGTCGTTAATTGCACGTGTACCTCTTTGTCTGGATAGAAGGAGAAGGGCGGAAATTCCACCACTTTACAGGCCGTCTCAGCCGATTTTACATGTCTTACGAGTGAAACCCGCCCGGTCTGAACAGGAAAGCCTAAATGGAGGCAAGAGGAGTGTAAAAATACACAAAAAGTTAGAGCAAAGAAGGATAGAGGAACAAGTAGTTTTTGCTTCAATGTCAGGTGTAAATGCCCTATAAAAGTAATACCTCCAATTGGTAAGTACGCATTTGGCAAATTAGGCAAACAAACTAACAAACCAAAACAAAGTGATATCAAGAGCTAAAAACGTGGTAATGGACCCATCTTACAACTCATCTATAGGGATGGTGTGTGTGTGTGTGTTTGTGGGGAGGGCTAGAGCGAGAAGAGGAACTTGTGCTAAAAAGGCGGAAACAAAAGCAATACTTAATCCTTAGTCAGGCCTAGTAGATCGTCTCATGCTTTGTAGTTGGCAACAAAGAAGTAAGGTAAAAAAGCCTAAGAATTTTACCTGTACAGCTGCCAGGATGATAAAGCGTGTGGTTACTTTTGCGTTTGCAAATGTCCAGCAGACAAAAGCACTTGTTCTTGAATGTTGTCGAGTTAGATGAACATACGGGCTCTTCGTACGACGGGCAGTTGTCATCACATACACAACGAGCATCAAATGCAGAGAAAGCTTTGCAGATGGCATGGTACTCGCAAGTAACATTTGTGCACGGGTCAATATCTTTGAGAAAAAATACAAAATCACTTCTTACGACAGGAATTTAACCAATTTTTTCCTAAACTCCTATCAGAAATCTTACTGAAGCATGAAGTGCTTAAAATAAATATACATTTTTCGGAAAAATATTACTCCATTCGGCATGCGGTCCTAGACTTAAGTCAGAAGAATTATAGAAGACAATACATTTTTAAGACTTTCACTACGTGTATATATGTCCAAAAACTTATCTTTCTTGTTTTTCTTTTCTTTCTTCGATTTTGAAACTGCTTCTAATCTTAACTAAAGTTTCTGATTTTGGATGCAATGGAAACAACAAATTACCTCCCACAATTGCATAGTCTACTGTAACTGGATCGTGAGACTTGCTTATTCCCTGGCTGTCCTTGATGCACACTTTGAAAGACAAACGAGTGATTTCCTAGAAGATAACAAATTCATTCAGTTATAACTGCTAAAAATTTAGCAAGAAATACTGTTCAGTTCGATCAATTTACTACAACTCCAGTCAAACTTAAGTTACAAAAAATTTGTAGAATTCCTAAACAATGAACTAAATATTAAATTTACAACTTAGTATCGCGTTGTTCAAAAATTTCCTTAGTCTATCCAAGTAAAATGAAAAAAGAAGTGGAGCTTTCTGCGTATTAATTACGTTTCTAGTTCCTAGATTTTTAAGGCGTGGGTATTTCTTTTGTGGTGTAAGAAGTACAAACGCAAGAAAAGTATGTGCAGAAAAAAAACTTCTTACACTTATCTCAGTCAATTTTCTCGAGAAAAATCAATTTTACTGAAATTGAATGAAGTTCTTTTATTCGCCACTCTTTTTCTAGCCCACATTTGAAATAATAATAATAATAATAATAATAATAATAATAAATTTCTCGGTACAAAACCATAGTTGAAACGACAATTACTGTAATGACTAAGGAATTCGATTAAGTTAAATATAAAAGCGGTGCAGCCACTTCGAGCGCTTAATTCATTTTTACTCAGTTACTTGGAGTGCGGAGGCAATTGAAAAAAGAACTCTAAAATCAGTTTCAATAAATAAGGAAAGATAAATGGCTGTATATGGCCTGGAAAATTACTTACCTCGATCCAAACATTTAAAGCATTGCTCAGACGACCATCAGCCTTTATCCACAGAGCACTGGTAACGTTGTCATGTCTGGCAGACGTGAGGACACTAGGAGGCTCGTAAAATGGATTTTCGAATTTATAATCCTGAAAAAAAAAATTACACAAAAAAATGCATTGATAAAGCCTTATTCAAAGATTATCACCTTCTTATTCCGACCTTGGTTTAAGAAAAAGTATTGTAATTCAAAGACCTTTCTGTAATTTTCTTGTTTAACATTTAAGACATTTAAAAATGTCTTAAAACGCATCAGTTCATGTACACTGCCTGCCTCCAACAGCTTTTTTTCTCTTATTCCAAATAGAACAAAGTTCTGCAAGTTTTCTAAAATAAATAAATAAATAAATAAAAGAGATTATAGTGCAACATCAAGGTTATAAAGACTGCTAGTGGATGCACTTTTGTACAATTCAAATACAGGTGTACAACAGAAATCAGGATCAACGATACGATAAACCCTATTTTGTCACTGATAACGGTACATTTATTATAAAAACAGACTGCTATAGTCTCTCCTGGAAACGTTTTCCCTTGAGCCGTACTAAACTAAACAGAGGCTCATACATGTAGAAGAACGTTAGTCTTTCCAACCTGACAAAAAGCATAGTTGTTTTCTTTCTTTGGTGCACCAAGTCCAGAAAAATGAAGCTTTCCTCTTTCAGTAATATTCCAAAACGCCGGGAGCACATCATACGCAAGCCAGTTCTTTTAAAAAAAGAGAATACACACAAATTTATTTGCAGATTTGCGGACGATTATTATCATTATTCTTCGTCCTGAGATGGGGAGTTCCGACAGACAGAAGTGCTGCAAAAAGCATTGGGAACAGGTACATCTAACCTAAATAAACTAGCACTTAAGACGTTAACTGAAACGATTTTCTTGTTTTCACTGTTGTTTTTGATATATTAATTTTTGTAATACAAGTTGGAGAAGAAGCACGATATAGAATTTACTGTACATAGAAGTATAGTGTGTGATGCCACATGTACTGGAACGCACCCTTTAGTTACCCAAAGGTGGACTTCTTTGCCACACAAACCCTGCGTGGTAATTTCGTGAATAGAGCAATAAAGACTAGTCTCCTCAGACTTCTCTAATCTCAACTTACCACTTTGAGACCTGAATGGATGCCGTCAAAGCTCATAAACTCCCTCAAGCAAACCACAAAACTATCCTTTTTGACGTCCTCTAGCCAAATGTTCATGGAGTCAAATGGTCGGTCGGAATGTTTATGTAGAACAGTCACAAACACTTGGGGTCTCGCCTAAGACAGAGTGTAACAAAAGAAGAATTATCTATGTCACTGAAAAAAAAAAGAAGAATGAAAATGTAAGGTCTGGGATTCTACATAACCCTGATGTGACATTTTCAAAGTTCCTTCTAAGTGACTAATTATGATAGTAAAGCATGGGACTTCCGAATTCTCGATTCTACATGTACCTTTGGGCTTAAGGCCCCTTCTTCCATGCCTGATCGATTTCGCACAAGTGAGAATGTATTGTTTGTCACCTGTAAGTATGTTAAAATGACTGATTGAATGCACCTACTTTACCATCTCACCTTATTCTGAATACTAAGCGATATCTTCTTGCACTGGGTTCTTGAGGTGAATTCATCAAATTCAACGATTCCTGAATCAAGACCTTGGTGCGAACCTTGAAAGGCAAGCCAGTTGATCACAGACGCGCCTCCAGAACCACTGCCTGCTTCACGAACGCAGGCATCAAAACCAGATGTGGACACTGACTTCACCCAAACAGACGCTGGGTCGTGGATTTTGACATGTTCGCTTCCGTGGCTAAGCGTTGCAAACACCTTTACATCTCCAGAACCCTGGAACTGAGCTTTGAAAGAAACGGTCTGGCAGCCATGGTTGTTTTGGGATGTGTCGGAAATATTGACCTTCCCAGTTTGAAAGACATCAGCTTGAATATCGTACATGCAAAAGAACACAAAAAAGTAACTTCAGTTAAATATTGTTTACCGCATTGAAGTAAAACACCGTCATCTTTTTGCGTTCCCTGTGTCGACCTTGTACCAAGTCATTGCACAGAAATGAAACGTACGCTTAAAGTAACTCCAAATTGGAAATGGACCTTAACACAAACCGTTCCAAGGAGTCATTTGTATTTAAGAACAGATACACACAAAACGTTAGGACATTTTTCACTATCAAATTTGTGGGCTGGTGGTATTTTCCTCAGTTAGGTGGAACCTCCCCGAACATTTTCTAAATACGACGTGAGTAATTAAGTTATTCTACAAAATGTTTCTTCTGTTGCAGCAACTGTAAGAAATCGGTATTCAAGAATCAATTAATAGCTTTGGTTAGACACTTAATTACCTTCAGTGAGTTGCAAAAATAGCACCAGAAAAGCGAAGTAAACGAAGACTTGCTTCGCCAGCATTGTCTTCGCGTTTGACTGTGCTTTACTTGCTGTATCTTACCTCTCCGGCAAATACTTAGTGGGTGTGCTTTGCAGCTATATTTAAAGTGTACTGGTTTTGGAATGAGCAAGACTTAATAATATTTGAAACCTGGTTTTTCCGCACGGTTAAAGGTACGTTAATCTCATCCAAATCAGTCGTTTCAATGAACTCGAGTGGTGAGATTAGCTCCTTAAGTTGTTATTTCATAATTTAGCAGGAGAAAATAACAATAGAATTTTTAGAGATTGTTCCCCGTAAGCTCACTATTTACGACAAAGAGCTTCTCAGTATATAAAATAAACAATCTAATCTCCAACTTATTCCATTTACTTAAAATAATAAAACGATGGGAGTGTGTACTTTGCCTGAGCAATTTCAAAACGTTTTCAACTTGGTACAATGCGTGTGATTGAGTACCGAAAAAAAAAAAGAAAAAATGAACAAAATTGCTGATCTGAAAAAAACAAAAGTTCTAAGTTAAAATAATAATAGAAAAAATATATGCCAAAACTCTCCTTCTTCTTCTCTTTCTTCTCTTTCTTCTCTTTAAACTTGAAAACAGATTCTGTGCTTAAAGCAAATCTCCCTTACGAAACAATTGCTCTATGGTTTCTTTGTGTTGAGTATATGTTGTAGTTAATTTTTATCTCACGTAATTTATATTTTTCTTTTGTTCTGGGGTATGGTAATGTAGCCTAATGAAGTTGAAACAAACGAAAAATAAAAAGTACCTGAGATAAAAATTGACAACATAGACACTGTAAATTTGTGAAAAAAGAAAAAAAAAGAGAAAACTTCCTCTGACTATTGCTTATTGTTCAGGAACACTTAAACGTATTCTAAATAATCGAGAGGACAGATTTCGCGAAGAGATCTTCCCGGGCATATGTATATTCCCGCGCTAAGCGAGGTTAAAGGCTAGACCAACCTCTTAAAACTTACAATAATAATTATCTTACGAACAAAAACCATCAAGTCTCAGTTACAGTTTTATTTATTGAATGCAGATACGCTATAAATTGGTGGTACTGAATGCACTTTTACTTTCACCTTAGGTTTGTTTTAAATAACTACTTTTGCCGGGAATTCACAATACGTAAAATTGTTGGAACGTTTTAGCCTACGGTTCAAGGACGTCAAACTGACCTGACGTTAGTATTTTTTGAGTTAATAAAGTAGACGCCGTGTAACAAAAATCCAACTTCATGAGAGAAAATAAAATGTGGAAAAATTCCTTTAACAATCCTTTTTTTTGGTTTAGGACTATTTAAACCCATTAAGATAATAAAGGAGAGGTTTCGTAAAAAAAAAAGAAAAAAGAAAAAAGAATCTTCTACAGGCATTGCAATTTCTTCGCTTAACTAAGGTTAATGGAGAGTAACCTCTTAAAAAATCCCTATACAGCTTCTCAGCTTCACGCAAATCTTCCGAGAGAAGCGATCTGTCTCATCTACAGTGTACAGTATATGGACACCCATAAACTGGTTCTACTGAATGCATTGTCACTTTTTAGGGAGCCTACACAGTTTTCATTTAAAATGATAGACCTGCTGGGAGTAAATACGTAAAATTGAAAGTTATCTCTGAAGAGGTTTAAGAAAAGTAAGTTGATGTCAGGTTTGTTCTTAGAATTTCATGTAAACATCACGGCGCACGACAACTTCTATCTAAGAAAATAGACACACCGTTAAACCAGGAATTAACAGGGAAAGAAGTGGACACCTTTCTCTGTGCTTCCTTTTTTGTTTAGGCACATAAATCTCTTTACAAAATCCAGGACAGATTTCGTGAAAAGCCTGTGAATCTTTTCTAAAGCGAGGTTAAGGAACAGTAACCTCTTAGACCTCCCATTACAGCTACTGTGCTTAACGCAAATCTTATGAAAACAACAAAAAAGGTAGTCCCAGTTCAAGTGCCTTTTGCTAAATGCGCATTCACTAAAAATCGATTCTTCATAACAATTTGAATACATCGCCACTTCTTAGTGAAAGTATTCCTCCGCTAACAATTTTTGATTTAAATAACTATACCTGCGGAGGTAACAATACTTCAATTGTCTTAACATTTGTCTGACGAGCTTCAAGGAACTTAAACTGACGTCATGGCTTGAGTATGGATGTTGTGCATGCGATCCGCACATTCAACGTTGAGAGTGTGCAGAGACGAATGGCACGTTTTGTTACAAATGAATATAGCACCACTCCCGGAACTGTCACGAAAATTCTGAATGATTTGAAATGGCTAACACTCGAGAAAAGGAGGAAAGTGGCACGATTTACAACAATGTTTAAAGTAGTTTCTGGTCTATCAGCTACACGATTTCCACCTTATATATTATTTAAAAGGCGACAGGGCACTAGGCAATTCCACCTTAAGAAATTCTTTCAAGTTGGTGCTAAAACAAACAAATACCAACACAGTTTTATTGCACGTACAATCAGAGACTGGAACTCCTTACCAAGTAGTGTCATTGAAAAGCAGTCAGTAGAGGCTTTCAAAAAGGCCGTCATGTGCTATCTTTAAAACGCTGACCACCAGGAGTCTTTTTTTTAAACTTAATATTAGCGCCATAATTGTATTTTCAACATAAGCACATGCACATCTGCACATCAGCCGTGATGGGATATACCCTTTGCAGATTATACGATTAGAGTTAGGTTAGAGTTACATGCTAACATATGGAACGTTTTAGCCTACGGTTCAAGGACGTCAAACTGACCTGACGTTAGTATTTTTTGAGTTAATAAAGCAGACGCCGTGTAACAAAAATCCAACTTCATGATAGAAAATAAAATGTGGAAAATTCCTTTAACAATCCTTTTTTTCGGTTTAGGACTATTTAAACCCATTAAGATAATAAAGGAGAGGTTTCGTAAAAAAAAAAGAAAAAAGAAAAAAGAATCTTCTACAGGCATTGCAATTTCTTCGCTTAACTAAGGTTAATGGAGAGTATCCTCTTAAAAAATCCCTATACAGCTTCTCAGCTTCACGCAAATCTTCCGAGAGAAGCGATCTGTCTCATCTACAGTGTACAGTATATGGACACCCATAAACTGGTTCTACTGAATGCATTGTCACTTTTTAGGGAGCCTACACAGTTTTCATTTAAAATGATAGACCTGCTGGGAGTAAATACGTAAAATTGAAAGTTATCTCTGAAGAGGTTTAAGAAAAGTAAGTTGATGTCAGGTTTGTTCTTAGAATTTCATGTAAACATTACGGCGCACGACAACTTCTATCTAAGAAAATAGACACACCGTTAAACCAGGATTCAACAGGGAAAGAAGTGGACACCTTTCTCTGTGCTTCCTTTTTTGTTTAGGCACATAAATCTCTTTACAAAATCCAGGACAGATTTCGTGAAAAGCCTGTGAATCTTTTCTAAAGCGAGGTTAAGGAACAGTCACCTCTTAGACCTCCCATTACAGCTACTGTGCTTAACGCAAATCTTATGAAAACAACAAAAAAAGGTAGTCCCAGTTCAAGTGCCTTTTGCTAAATGCGCATTCACTATAAATCGATTCTTCATAACAATTTGAATACATCGCCACTTCTTAGTGAAAGTATTCCTCCGCTAACAATTTTTGATTTAAATAACTATACCTGCGGAGGTAACAATACTTCAAATTGTCTTAACATTTGTCTGACGAGCTTCAAGGAACTTAAACTGACGTCATGGCTTGAGTATGGATGTTGTGCATGCGATCCGCACATTCAACGTTGAGAGTGTGCAGAGACGAATGGCACGTTTTGTTACAAATGAATATAGCACCACTCCAAGAACTGTCACGAAAATTCTGAATGATTTGAAATGGCTAACACTCGGGAAAAGGAGTAAAGTGGCACGATTTACAACAATGTTTAAAGTAGTTTCTGGTCTATCAGCTACACGATTTCCACCTTATATATTATTTAAAAGGCGACAGGGCACTAGGCAATTCCACCTTAAGAAATTCTTTCAAGTTGGTGCTAAAACAAACAAATACCAACACAGTTTTATTGCACGTACAATCAGAGACTGGAACTCCTTACCAAGTAGTGTCATTGAAAAGCAGTCAGTAGAGGCTTTCAAAAAGGCCGTCATGTGTTATCTTTAAAACGCTGACCACCAGGAGTCTTTTCTTTAGACTTAATATTAGCGCCATAATTGTATTTTCAACATAAGCACATGCACATCTGCACATCGGCCGTGATGGGATATACCCTTTGCAGATTATACGATTAGAGTTAGGTTAGAGTTACATGCTAACATATGGCACACTTCAACTGTTTGTTAAGAAAATAGACACACCTTAACCAGGATTCAAAAGTAAATCAAAACGTGGAAACCTTCTTCGGGTTATCTTTTTGGTTAGGTGCATTAGAACCCCTTGAAATAATCGAGGTCTGATTATGAAAGATAACATTACCTTCTCTTGGTACATATATCTATGCGCTGAAGAGAGTCTAAGGGCCTTTCTCCTCTTAAGCTTTCTACGAAAATCTTCCTAAAGAAAATGATCGGTCTCCAGTGTTCTTTTTTTCTGTAGTGTTTTGCTGTTTAGGTTTTTGTTTAATTACTATAGAGCACAGCTGACAAGTAAACGGAAAATAATTACATTGAGATGTTGGCATATTAAACACAGGAGTCAATGGAGCCCCTCTCCCTTCCTTCTTGGGACAAAGTAGGAGTTAGTTGGGAAATGAAGTGTGATCATTTGAGAGAGACTGCTACTCCAGTGGGGTGGATGATTGAGAAGTTTTCATGTTTTGTTTATCAGTCCTCGGGGTAGGGATTTTGCTTGGGGATTTGTACGTGAGCCAGCTGGTTCCTTAAATTAATCATGTTATGGCAACAGACTGAGAGTGAAATACATTCATCTTTGTAGCTGGCCTTCACTTAAACACATGCTATGGCAACAGACTGAGGGTGAAGCTCATTGGTAGTTGGCTTTCACTTAAACACAAAAATAAAATTGGGTAAACTAGACTACATTGTCCTCAAACCAACTTTCAGCTGCTGTCACACAAGAGTAAAGAATGTGACTAAGGTTGTATTCTCTTGCATCTTCAAATTCGATTAAAATAGACTTAAAAGTCATTGTTATTGATAACCTGTTACTCAGGAGGTAATGTAAACACCACCTCCACCAACCCAGGAAAATGTGGGTATTAACTATTTGTTAGAAGTTTCACTCCAAATACTGCTGCCACCACTTCCTGAGATTATTTTATGAAACGGCTTTTAAAAACAAAAAAAAAAACAAAAAAAATTAGAGGCTTTAGAGGGCTTTTCTGTTTTGGACATACGAAAATTTTAGGCCTATAATGCATAAGGGAAAGGTTTTATGACAGTTAAAAAATTTAAAAGTTGTACAATATGTACAAGGATTTGTATGGAAAAACACTCCACTGTGACTGAGGAGCAACAGTTGTCCCCATGTCCCCATACAGGCAAATCCTTCTAACTTTCACTGACTGCCACAGTCACTACTTTTGAAACACACAGCTGAAGCTTTACAGGGCACCTAATTTTAATATGCTCTTTCAGTTCCTACTAAAATCATTTTTCCAGAAAGAATTGCCTTTGAGCTCAAAGCATGGTTTGTTACATGAAGTCAGCCTTGCATTGTCTTTTCTCTAAGAAAATAAAATCTACTGGCTTTACCCCACTGTCAGAGTCAAACCAAGCAACTGAGGCCATTGTTTCAATATTTCTTATTACATGTGTAAAGTATACATACATTTGATGTGAACACAGAAGTCAGCAAAGGCAAATTACCTTAAGCATCTTTGTCCACACAGAAAAATGATTATATCAAGCATAAGATTTTACAAAAATACTAACCTTTTTCCTAGGAAAAATAATAACCTTTTTCCTTTTTCCTAGTGTCTCAACATCCTCACGAAGACACTCATAAATTAACTCAATAAAATTAGAATTGACTGATGCATAAAGCAGTTTTCACTGTACACTCCTAGCCCTTGTACATTAATGTGCAGACCGTTGAATTATCAGTGTTAGTGTAGGAAATGGAAGACAGAGGCCTGTTACTACTAACAGGCTACTACTATTCACTGAGATGCGAAACTCAGCTGAATCAGCTGTGCTTAGGGGCAAACCATAGTTGAAAATTTATCACCTAAAAACAAAAAGAGAAAGGAAGAGGAATTTTAACACCTACCTTAGTTCGTACCCTGATCCTAGAGGTTTTCTTGAAATTTTTCTTGGCCAAAGAGAGAGCAAGCCGTTAAATGGCAACAATGGGTTGTGAAGAGGAGAGAGAGAGAGAGAAAACCTCTGGTTCTTGGCTTGGCCTCAAATCTCACTTTCATGCAGATGACATGCAGATGACAGCTGTCAAACGCGTCAAACTGCTAATAAAAAAGTGACCAAATATGGCAATTTAGCAAACATGTGAGCAGGAGTTGACCCGGGGAAATTAATATTGTATCAACAATCCATCTCCACTCGGGTGGTGAAGAGTGATAAGATGTCACTTGATCTTGTTGATAACATTAATCGGGGTCAAGCATGGAATTTGCCAGGTAATTTGCAGCAAGAGTCCAGGAATAAAAACTTTGCTAAAAGAAACCAGCATTGTTCCCAATGACTTCTGCAGGATTTGCAGAATTGATTTTAAAACCAGTGGCCGATCTAAGATCAACGTTTTTGGAAAAAATAACAAGGAGTTTTTGAAAACATTATCATCAGTTCTGTCGTCCGATGTTATACAACAGAATATGATGGGAGTATTGCAGATAATCTGCCAGAGGTGCCAACGAGAAGTTTTGCAATTTTTGAGGGTGTTAGAGCAATTGGAAAAATTCTGGGAAAAATGTAACAAGGCCCTAAGAATTCAGTTGGCAGAGAGTTGCACAGGAAATGACAGAAGTGCTGCATGAAAGGTGTGCGGCCTGTCACCCCTCGCAGTTTCCACTTATTTTACAAGCAATTTTCTTCCCTGGTAGAGGGAGGCAAAATTTACCAAAAGAAAGGAGGTGAGAAATATCCTCAGCATCCCCTCAGTAGTTACAGTCAAACGAACCAATCAAATTGATTTGCATGTTTCTAAAAATATCAACCAATCAGCACCAGAGGGTCAGATCCTGACCCTGTCATCTGCATGAAAGGAAGGTAAGGCAACAATAGATTTTACTCTCCCTCCTCGCCGCTTCGCGACACGTTGTCGCCGCTTCACGGCTCGCTCTCTCTTTCACGAAGAACATTTCAAGGAAAACCTCTGGGACCAGGGTACTACCTTCAATACAACTGCTTTTTTTTGTCCTGCCTAAAGTTTGCGGTCTACATTTTTATCCTGACCGACCTTGAAATTCAGTTCGGTTTATCGAAATTTTCGACAACGTATATACATAAACTCATTTAGGAGTAAACAATATGCTATAAGAGAGAAAGAGATCGAGACAGAATTTTCTTCTCTTTACGCCAAAATATGATCACTTACCTAGTTGGCACATTCCACTGTTTCTCTCCAAAATGTTGACGCGCAGCCCGTTCAGGCCATAAACTCCTCGTTCGGTTTTCCAATTCACATGTCCAGATATTAAAACTCTCTAAAGAGGCGAAAAGAGAATGATTGTGGAGCCTGCGATGAATTTCTTGCTTTAAATACGCACACACTTGATCATCGTTGGTCGCCATTTTACAAAATATCGTCCAGGCGTTACTCGGAAACTGAGGTAAAGACTAGGCAATAAGACCACTGGGGGTGCACCGGGGGTGGGAAATTTTGTTCTTCCCCCTTCGTGTAAGTGCCCAATCGTCGCTCTGTTCAAAGTCCGGAATAAATTAACCGATTCGAAAGGGAAGTAATGATGCTTGAAAGGGACATAATGAGGGGAATAGGCTGGAGCTGAAAGAATTTCAGCGGATACGAATTTCGGCTTAAGAAAATAGCACTGCTTTTTTGTTGCGACTGGTCTGGGGTCGTGCCAAATCGCAATGACCAGTCTTTGACTTCATCAGTCTTAAGCCTGTTTTCCCCTCTCATATCTCTTTGCGTCGGACAACTTAAGCTGCTCATTTTTCTATGCCACTTTTGTCTTACAAGCGACTTTGATAAACCGGGAAAGCTGAATGAGAGGACTCTAATAGTCAGGTCTCTTAGGGTCAGGATCGTTACAGAGTTGACAAAAGCACCAAACTTTGCACAGCGATAGCTTATTGCAGTACCATGAATATTAGAGGGGGTGCCCACTGCAAATATGCCACTGAAGCGTGCTAAACAGGATTTGATTATTGCAAATTTCACCTGCTGGGGTCCCTGTGGTGTTTTGATTGAAAATTGTTATTTAATACCTTAAATCACTCTGAATTCTATTCTCAGGTTGTAAACAACAATTTCACTCAAACATCTGGCATTCCCATCCATTTTTGCTTATTGATAGTATAATTAAGTTGATTATTACTGTGCCCAAAAAAGGAAGTCCACAGTCCGCCCACATTTTCATAAGTCATTTCTAAGATGGCCTCGTCTTTGCTTCATAACTTGCAAGTACTCAGATTCTCGGGTCTCTTCTCCTTTTCTAATGTATTTCAATTAGAGGAGGCCTTATTGTGTGGTTTAAGCCTTATTTATCAAGTATTACTTGTCATTACATGTCACTTTAAGCTGAAGAAAGCGTATGGCATAGCGATTCACACACAACATTTCAGAAAAAAGAAATTGTCAAAGAGTCTGTTGTATCACATATTATCAGGGATTTATGACAGCTATTCATGAAGAGCAAATAACGAGATGACAGAACCCAAAATAGTTCTTTCCTAGGGAGGTAATTAATTTTTCAGCTTAACATAGGCCTGGATGCCTTTCAGTGTCTCTTTATCCAGTTATCTGCTGGACGCAAGTGCATGTTTTGACAGAGAAGCAAGCACCGTGGCACAAGTCATATGATTTACAATTTCCGCAGTTTGTCTAAGCTTTACAAAGCAAAAACAAACAAAAAAGAATCTGGTCTCATAAACGAAAAAAAGAAACAAGTTAGCCCAAGCTTCAAAAAACAGCACAGTTTATCATGAAGCCTCAACATTTGGCACTGAAGCACTCATGTCCAAAAATAATAACAGCTTATCAAGTCGTAAAAGTGAGACTCAGGTGGTACAAGATTGACTCAAATGATAAATGGTGAATGGTTTAACTGCTGAAACATGAGAAAGGGGGCCGGGCTAACTTTTAGGGCCTGTTTACATGGAGGAGGGGGCCTCAGGTAGGAATGGTAACCCACTTAGGTGGGGTAACCTGCTTGTCCATAAAATCTCTCATTTTAATTTGATCACTACATGATAGGTGGGGTCACCCTTCAAGGTGGGTAGCCCGGTGTGCCACACCAGGTAACCCTCTCAGCTGAGGTCAAATTTTGCCATGTCAACGTTTCAAGGTGAGGAAACCCAGGCTAGTCGGGGTCGGATTCGTGATACATCAAATTCGCGCAAAATTCACTTTGGCGCTGGGTGACTTCACATAATTATTAAAGGTAACAATAGAAAGCCACAACACTGAAGGTTGCAGTAAGAGCAGCAATTGAGCGTAGACGTGGTTTGCCAGCATTTTTCTTGTTTACATGCTTAGCGACCATTCAATAATCTTGAGAAACTGCACCCCAGGATGGCGGGGTTGTAAGATTGCATGTAAAGGAGGGTTATTTTTTTACCCCACCTAAGCAGGTTACCTCACTTACCTGGGGTCTCCCACCTTTATGTTAAAGGCCCTAAGTCTCAGGAACCGTGAAACTGGTAATAAACGGTATACCTAACCCGTGACGAGCTGTGATACTACCGGCCATCTTCAAGAATGTCAGCATAGCAGCCAAAGAAGCCATTATATCGGTGTAAAACGAATATTAGATTGCGGTTGTTTCATGCGTCTCGTTTTGTGACTTTTTCTGTGTTCGTTTTTGTCACCATCTCTAAATATCAATCATGTTCAGAACACCCCTATGATATTAAGCAATAAAAACAAGGTGTGACCAGGAGCCGATTTCTAGGCTCCTGGTGTGGCAACATAGGCATAAGTGAATGCAAAGTTTTGCAGTATGTAATCTGTCAAAAATCTGTTTGAGTGGTCAAAGTTGGGGCTGATGGGCTTCTTTATCATGACCACTCCATTATTATAAGGGACCAGGCCACAATTATTGTTGACCCTTGCTTTTTTGGTATTTTATGTAATTTTCCACAGCATTATTTTGTGAAAAGTTGGTAACTGAATTGCTCTTGAGGAATTCATGATCGTAAGATTTCGTAACCACGGGGTATTCGCCTAATTGCATCAAACAAATTACATTCATTTTCATCAATGACGCATCATTGGTTGGCTAAAAGAGGCCTTGTTCCTGTAAATTTCAGCTCTTCTGAAGTTAGTTTGTTTGTAAATTGTAACGCACGCGACGACCTTCCCTTTTTTTGAAAGATCGTATAGACCTACCATTAACACCCTGGTCCAAGGGCTCTGAAGTGAATGAGCCGCTTACAGGTGTCTAGGCATGCAGGGACCTCATACACTTCTTTCTAAGGTCTCGGTAAATGAAAATTTTAGTACATTGCTTGATTTTTTTTTGGATTTTTGGCATGAGGGGGTCCTAAATTTTATTTTGGAAGAAAAAGAAAACCAGAAAGTGCTTTTTAACCCTTCTAAAATGAGCCTTTTATGAGCTAACCAGCCAAGCGTGGACCTCGCGCTAAATCTTTAGAGCTCATTTTCTCTCACTCTATTTTAGACGCAAAAATCAAAATTCTCCGACCTCCAGTCGGGACAGGTTTTAAGCTATCGCTTTGAGGAATTTTCCGATTTCCTTTGTAACTCATTTTATGTCAGTTTCTTTGCGTAAATCGCGCTCGAGATTCGACTTTTTAGTTTGAAATGCAATAATTCCGCTAATATGAGACATATGCAAATTTCCTCACACCATTTTTTAAGTCTTTTATCTGTCAATCAGACGCAATAAAAAGGAAGCGAATATTTAACAACGCGAAAGAGCTGGAGCTTCAGCCGTAAACTCGATACCTCTGAGTTCGAGAGCAAAAAACTTAAGCGCCTTTTGAAATTCGATGAAATAAAATCTTTTATAAGGTAATTTAGTCTTTTAGCTTTAATTTGATATATAACTTGCCTTTGTAGCGAAAATACTCGCGCGACTAGAATTTTTTTCTGTGGGCACCTCGTTTTCCTTTACCGAGACCTTAAATGTAAATGTGCAAAAAATAAAGAGTGTTAAAAATTCCTGGAGAGGCATGTTTTACAACCTCGTCCCCAGGGCTTAATAAAAAGGTAGAAAAAGGTAAAGCGACCATATCTTACGTCAATAACTCGTGACAGTAATAATAAGTGATAAACTTGAGGTCAACGGTGCGCTCCTTTTACCCCCTCTCTCCATTAATTCTCCGTTTTAAGGGTATTTAACGCTAGTCAAAGCTACACAGAAAAAAGAGAACTTGAAATAAGGAGGTGTTGACACCGGGCTCGAACTCGGGACCTCTCGCCCCGAAGGCTGCGCACTAACCAACTGTGCCACCCTTGCTCCTCGTTTTCCCCCTGAGGACGAGGTTGACATGTTTTAATCATTATCTCAAGGACAGGGTTACCAACGAAGCAAATTATAATCTAATCTTAGCTGCACAATTACAAAATGGGCGCATTGTCAGTTACGGTTCATGAGGTCGTTCATGTGGCATGTCAAACTTTAACGATTCTGTCGTTTAGGATGTGATACATTTGCGTTTTATATTATTGTATGACATCTTTGAAAGCTTGCTTTGTGATCTGTTTAAATTGATATGTAATGATATTATCACTGGCAAGTCTTAGCAGTGACACTGATAGCCGCACAGTCCGCACAATGAACATGGCCACACTTACCGTGTGGAGACTGGGCACTAGTCAGTATTATGTACATGTAAAACTATTTTGAATAGTGTAACAACAACTAAACATTACTAAATTAAAAACTTAGAAATTTGCAAGAAATGTTTTTTTAGCCAAATCAAACAAGAAGAGTACTCACCACAGGGCACCCAATCTGCTATTATAGGTGAAAGTTAACCCCCCCCTTTTATCTGTAATTTGGACCATTTGTAACGGGCACCCCCTCCAGTATTAATCGGTAGGTGCTAAGGAAGCTATGTGCCAAATTTGACACTTTTGTCACGTCTGTAACGATCCGGCCTATATTTTGCACTAAGAGACCTGACTATAAAGAGTGTGCAACTATATCTGGCCACCGATTAGACCCAGTAATAGCAAATCTCCACCGAAGAAATAGCCTCCCCGCAGACGTCCTTTGGGGTTCGTTTGTCACGCATTCATTTCTCCCTCCGTGGGGGAGAAATGAATGCGTGACAAACGAGCCCCAAAGGACGTCTGCGGGGAGGCTACCGAAGAAAGAGAAGAAAACCACGCGTTACAACCGTAGACTTCAAAACGAGGCTTTATTGGATTACAAATCATTGAAAAAATCTTCCAATAGGCTATTTGCACTATGACATCATTTTACTATTACGACCAGAATCCTTCAGAGGTTTGCTTTCTTGTGCAAATGAGGGCTTTTGTTATTCAAACCTCACTGGGATAACCTAATTTCAACCTATTCAGACTGGGGGGAGGGCTTTTCGAACCCCCCCTCCGGCAAAATCGTAATAACTCCTACACCGAAAGAGCTATGACGTTCAAATTTTCTGACTTTTCCTAAAATTTATCTAGGAACATTTTGGTATAATTACCATGTCCATGTGATTAATCATGTTGCCATGGCAACCAGTTTCTGACACATAGCTTTTGGAAAATATAAAAAATGGTGATTTTTTTGTTTTAAGATCGCGTTTTTACACTTATAGTCCTTTTTGTTGTTAAAATGGTCTTTGCTTGGGACTAGTTTTTGAATTACATCAAAATGTTTCAACATCGAATATTTGGGGGGGAGGGGTGGGGCAAAATTTGTCACTTTTTTGCTTTGACAAATTTGCTGCTCTATTTTCCAAATAACACTTCCAAAGTCATTTGTTTGGGTAATAAACATTAGTTTGATACTTCTTTTATACATTCTGAGCTTTTTCCCCTTTGAAAGTTGCTTTAAATTATGATTTTAACAAAAAAACGGAAATCCAAGATGGCGGATCCAAGATGGCGGACAACCATTTCAAATTTTAAATTTTATTGCTTCCTATTGCTTTTTCTCGCTGTACAAGTGTTTCCTTGTTACTAGTTCATAAGAAAGGATAACAAAGGGATGACTTCACCAATATTATTGATATTTTACGTATCTAAATGGAAAAATAATAAGAAACATCGAAAAATCGGAATATGACGTCACTGTGACGTCATCATTGGGCGTGGCAAGTCAAAACTGGGTGTGGGACTTCTTTGTACGGAGATGATCATTGTGTGTAAATTTCATGACCCTAGCATTATTGGTTCCAGAGATACAGAGGGGGGGGGGGGCGTTCAAGGAGCCCCCCCCCAGTCACAGATTGACCAAACAAGCCCAGTCTGAATAGGGTTAAATATGAAAGGAGAAACGACGAGCTACTAAATTACTAAAAACTCCAGTTAACCTGCCATTATTTGTTAAACGGCCCCAGTGCAGTTAAATTGGTCCCTAAGGAGAGTCATAAAATATAGGAACGCCAAAACAATAAAGGGCCTCTACTCGCTACTGCTATACAAGGTGGCCTTCGAGATTCCTAAGAATACTCACAGGGATAAGTTCTAACAACCGAAAACACTCCCTTATAGCAAATTCCTACCATGGAACTACGCTACCAACAAAAAAATTCCTTCTGGTCCATCATAACGACAAAACCAGTGGTGCTATGGTTAACCCCTGTTGGTGTTTTAACACCTCATTTTGTTGTTGAAACTTCTGCTGTTGATAATGCGAAAGCTCCAAATATAATAATTTGCACACGTTAGTTGCTAATCACCTTTTTTGTCATGTCAGTGGCGTTACTTTGAAAATATCATGAAAGAGATGTTAGCTTTCTTTCTCAGCAAAGGTATAGTAAAAGGCGGTCAGAGCTGATTATTTATTTACTTATTTATTTTTTGCTCTGACTTATTTTTGTTGCTCTGTTGACGTTTTTGTTGTGATTGTTGTTGTTGCTGTTTGTTTGTTTGTTTTTTATGCTTGCTTTGTTTAACGTTGCCGCCCGGTTTCAAGCAAGCACTTCATAATAAACCTCCAACTCATCTGGGCGGAAATTATTCCCGTATCGTGTTCCAACCCAAATGCTATAGTCGCAAGAAGGCCTGCGGTACGAGTGACAACTAAAGTAAGAACCGGTATTTCCTCGCGCATCGTCCGCAATATGCATATCATAGCCCGCACCAAAGGTTGGACCATAATAATATTTGCTGTAAGTGGCGTAGTCATAGTAGCCGTTGGTTATGTCCTTTTTGAAGTATCCATACCCTTTGTAGTTTTTCAGTGAGTACAAGAAGGCATTTGTCGAATATTGATAACCAGCAGACCCTGAAGAGACAAAAAAACAAAACACAAACAATTAGAGATCCATTGTAACTCAGTCGAGTTCAATAGACCATTTTACAGCTATGGATGGAAACGAGGCTCGAGTGGACCTTGTGTTGATACAACCATAAGATTTCTGCTTTCTTATCTAAATCTTGTTTTCTTATGCTAATAACTAGTATTTTTCAAACATAATTCACATAATAAAATAAAGAAGGTTTGTATCTTCAGCTTCGCACTCACTCGAAGTCTATAGGGTACAAATCAAAGTCCATTTTTTTAGGAAACGATAGTGGGTTAGTAAATCACGGAGAGCAGGAAAGTGGTATATAATGCGTAAAATAAATAATAAATCAGGCTCAAATCCTCACGATCATGAATTGGAGCATCATAAGTTGCAACTAACTTCGTCCCCAGAGCTTTTCCATTAGTAAATTTAAAAGGGATGGCGGAACAAACATTTATCTTTTTGGATACCCCTGATCCTTGATCGTACAAGAAGACGCACGGCCAAGCCGTTGTACAAAAGGACAAAACAGCCAGTTGATGAAACTCAGGCAGTTGTCATCGCCGAGAATGCATGGAAAATGTGTCAGATTGTGCCACTCAAAACTACTGGTCAGGCTGACTGGTTGTCAGAAACGTTTTTCAAAGTACGCCTTAAGACAAATAATACTGATGGCAAATGTTTAAAATGAAATTTACCTTGCAACAATGTTGCGTGTTCTGTCGCACTTTGTAATAAAATTGTCGCACTTTATAATAACACTTGCCGCATTTTGTAATAACCTTGAAATGCATGGTAGGAGGATAAGTAAACCCAACAATAAGAAGTATCAGCATCGATAAAAAAAAATGATAATAAAAGTAAAATAATTAGCGATAGTAATACTACTAATAATAACAATAATAATAATAATAATAATAATAATAATAATAGATTATTTTTATTATTATTGAGAATGTTTTATGATGATGATGATTATTATTTATAGCGAAGCCGCTCACGATACAGCCACCACAATAACACAGTATTATTGTGCTCTTTATTGAAACAAAGAAATAATTTGATGTCATTTTGAAGTCATATTGTTGAATTTCTTGGCCAAATCCGATTCCATAATTTTTCTCTCATAGCGAAAACCGTTCACATAGTAATAATACCGATAACGATGATGATGATGATGATGATGATAATGTTTGTCTTATTATTATAATGATTTATCGTGTTGCCTCGGAGTTTGTGTTTTTAGGTTTTATGAAATATAAGTTTAGCGTTTATTCATGGCAGTAAACACTAACATTTTGCTATATCTCTGTTCATATCCTCGCAGGTAATGAAACCGGATTTCTTTGTTGCCCGTGCTACTAGTAAAACTTTCAAAAAAATTTGATTAATACACAATCATCTTTCGCCTGAAGGACACCTTACTTTTATGGACAACCCGATAATACGGATAGCGGATAAATTCCAATACAAACTCCCATTATTACGGACTCTTGCTGTTATGGACACTATCTCATGGTCTCGAGGTCGTCCGCATAGAAAGGGTTACCGGTGTACTTCCCTACAAAGTTCTTGAAGCCGGAAGGCCGCAGTTGATGTGGTCACTTTCCTTTGCCCCCACTTGAGAAACTGGTGCTAAAAGCAGTTCAGTGGAGCGTTAATATTATTGTTATTATTATTATTATTATTATTATGATTATGATGATGATGATTATTATTATTATTATTATTGTTGTTGTTGTTGTTGTTTTTGTCGCTTATGATAATTATTATTGGGTTTACTTGTCCTCCGAGCATCCGTCTTAAGTTAACAAAGTGCAACAAGTGTTATTACATAGTGAGAAAGGTGTTACAAAGTGGGACAGGTACACAAAGTGTGACAATTATTACAAAGTGCGACAGAAAAGACCCGAGGTAAGATTTTCTTGCGAGAGGGGGAGGAGTATCTTAAAGTTGAGGTGAAATTTTGCATTTCAAACACCTCGGTCGTTTCGGCGGTAAATCACATGGCCGCCCGGACTTTTAGAGAGAAAAAGAAAATCAACAAAAAATAACCGAGTATTTCTTCACGCTAAATTTTAATGTCTACATTAACTTAGATAGCAGGAAAAGAGATAGAGCGAGAAATACATTACCCTGGTCCCTGAGGTTTTTCTTGATTTTTCTTCGCGAAAGAGATAAAGAGCAAGTAGCGAAGCGGCGATAACAAGTCGCGAAAGCGAAGAGGAGAGAGAGAAAAACCTCTGGTTACCTTGGCCTCGAATCTCACTTTCATGCAGACGACAGGGTCAGGATCTGACCCTCGGGCGTTGATTGGTTGATATTTTTTTCAAACACGCAAACCAATTTGATTGGCTCGTTTAATTGTAACTACCGAGGGGACGCTGAGGATTTTCACACCTCATTTTGCCTCTCTCTACCAGGGAAGAAAATTGTTGGTATGCTGCACTCGCAATAACATTTTCACGGGACCAAGGCACGTAAAGTCACGCCATATTTCAAGATTTTGACATGGATGTTGTTCCTGAAAGAATATTCGCAGAAATTTTGACCTCGGTACTTGATGAGCGCTTTCCTGAGTCTCACTGAGGAACAAAAGAAAGCTTTGTTCGCCGCGTTGAGTCGAAAGGATGTGTACTTTCCATGTCCGGTTGATAAAATGGTGAATATAATATTTCAGTCGTTACCTGATGTTTGCAAGTACCTTTCCTTAAGAGGCTACTCATAAACCTCGCCATGCAATAATTTTGGTTGTCTGTCCTCTCAAGTTTCTTGTGAACTCGCATATCCGCGAACTGCGAAACCGTGGCGTCTCAGTAACCAGTTTGAGCAGTCCAGACGTTGACGACCAGAGTCTCTAAACTAACTTGTTTAGGGTAGCAAAATATAAATCTCCGAATACGGAATAAAAGTTTCCTTGTAGCAAAAATACATACAACTTTGTACAAGTACGTAATCATTTTCGGTGCAGCTTGCACTTTCCTGCGACGCCCAATATTTATCGTTAAAGATCTAACCAACGTTATTTTTAGCATTGGGTCAACAAAAACCTCTGAAAGTACATTCCGAACCTTAAGGGTTTGTTGTGCTGCATGACTCTTCCTAGCGCCGTTGTTCCACAAAAAAAGGAAATAGAGCCGCCAAACCAAAATGCGAGCCAGATTGCCAGAATACATATTAATATGACTATTTTGGGGGGAATGCCCGCGAATCGACGCGAACGGCGCGCCCCGCAGAAGTAAACAATAATTAGCGCGATTGATAGACTCTTCACTTTACAACTTCCCTCTGGCACTTCTGACAAATAATCCCGTTGAGTCATGTACACAGCCGACAGAACAGATGACAGTGTTTGTGAAAAATCCTTGTTATTATACCCAAAAAAACGTTGATTTTAGATCGGCCACTTATTTTTACATAAATTCTGCAAATCCTGCAGCAGTCGTTTGGAACAATGTTGGTTTCTTTATAAAGCGGTGTTCTTATTCCTGGACTCTTGTCGCCCATCGTTAACACATGTTTTAGCTTGACCCCGATTAACAGATCACTCTTTACCACCCAAGTGGAGATGGTTTGTTCATAACATAATTTACCCGGGTCTACCCCTACTTAAAAAAATAGAGGCTGATAAGCTCGTGTTTGCTAAATTGCCATTGGTCACTCTTTTTATTAGCAATTTGACGCGTTTGACAGCTGTCGTCTGCATGAAAGTGAGATTCGAGGCCAAGGTAACCAGAGGTTTTTCTCACTCTCCTCGTCGCGAAAGCGACTCCTTGTCGCCGCTTCGCGGCTTGCTCTTGATCTCTTTCGCGAAGAAAAATCAAGAAAAACCTCTGGGACCAGGGTAGAAATACATAACAACGGAGACCAATTTCGTTGAAAGAAGAAAATGAGAAATGCTTGCGGCTACCAAGGTGAAAGTGAGCGACAGTGAACAAAAAAAGTGAACAGGAACACAAACATTTTGTCCATAAAACGTGTAAATAGGAAGTTAAAAGTAGTTTTACGTTTTAGGGCCTGTTTACATGGAGTGGGGAACCCCGGTCTAGTGGGGTTGGTTTCTTTTGTTTTCACGCTCCGGAGGACACAAAACAAAAGAAACCTACCCCACTAGACCGGGGTCCCCCACTCCATGTAAACAGGGTCTTAGTGGTGCAAAACAACGGCAAGGAAATGTACAAAAAAGTGTGCTGCAAGTGCAAAGTTGCTTTTTTGCTAATTGGATTTATTGTTGTTGTTTTTCACCGTTCTCGTTGTCTTCACCTTGTCTTTAGTATTAATCGATTTTACACTTTTGAGGAAACTATAAATATTAAAGAGAGCTTCGCTTTTAGCCCTAGCTAAATCTATATATTAAAAATCTATTTAAGACCAGAGTTGTTTTAAAACTACTAACGAAAACTGTTAAGGCCCCACCTCTTCTTTTTTTCACATTTGGGGTAAACGATCCCTCGGCTTTAATTCAATTCAACTAGTTGAAGCCTTAGTGGTAGATATCTTAGCTATTTCACGGACTTACATTGCCATGAATTGTCGTTGTAGCCTCCAAAAATATAGATCCCAACCCTAACAATTGTTACAGTGGGACCTTTGTTGTCGCAGTACGTGTGAAAGGTTTGTGATCTCCAACCATGAATGGAAGCTCTATAACACAATTTCCAGTAACTTCTGTCCGAACTTTGCAAGTGGGGAAGAAGCCAGTTATTTAGTTGTGTGATCTTGCTGACATCATTTGCTAAAATAACGGAGTCACTAAGGCCACCTGAAAAGGTAAGTCAGAAATTCGTCTTAATTTTAAAGGATGTTGTATGCCAATAAATCTGGGAACGATGTGAATCTGACCACTGAACAGTTGAGCCTGCAGTCGGGTTAAGCTGCGCGTGCCTTAGGGCCTGTTTACATAGAGGTGGAGGACCCCAGGTATTTGAGGTAACCCGCTCATGTGAATAACCCGCGTTTAAATGCAACCCCTTAATCCCGGGGAGCACTTTCTCAATATCATTGAATGGTCACCAAGCAGGTAAACGACAAAACCGATCATGCTTCCTTGCTTTTAGTGGATTTGAAATATACTATATTTCAAACCCACTAAAAACATTTAAACGAGAGTTGGATATTCTTGGAGAACAGCAAAATCAAGATGATCGACAGTACGAATAGGCAGAAGTTGTTATTTTGAGCCAAATCGGTTGATGAAATGCTGTATGTATACTGTTTCCATATACGCCTTCCACATACTAGAAATGAACGGTTATCAAACTTGTCACCTTCCATCTAAAAATTAAAGCTGTTTATAAATAAATACATGAAAAAAGCTCAGCTTACGATGAGGAGTGCATGTTTTTCCATCGCCAATGTGATGCAGGTCGCACTTGCAAGTAAATGACCCTTCTGTATTGGTGCAGATTGCATGCGCGTCACAATCATGGGTGTTGAGAGAGCATTCATCGACATCTGAAAAATAATAAGGATTTATTATTAAGCTCGACATTTTTTTTTGTTTATGAATATCATAGAAGTGCACTTTCTGAGACACGAAAATAATAGTAATGGACCACTGAGAAGAGACGGCTTTTAATTATTTTTTGCATAAAAGTAATTAAACGACATCACTTGTATCGTAAATGCCTTTTTAACGCTTGTTAGAAGCCAATTATTTTACTTCTGCTTCTGGCTTGTACCTCGACAGGTTCGTCCATCTCCCGTGTAGCCGTTGTTACAGATGCACGTGTAGGATCCATCTGTATTGTAGCATGTTGCACTGCTGTCACACTGGTGACCTGAGGAACACTCATCGATATCTAAAGCAAAGAAAAAAACTTTTTACCACCATTTCAAGAAATGTAGAGTACCCTAAATTAATTTTCAAAGGCTTCTGGCGTATAAGAAATATTTGCCTCCAAATATGTATAGTCCTAGTGGGCCTGTGCGTGAGGAGCAGATAAGTAAACTAGAACCACTACGTGGAACTTACCAGGGCCCAGTGGGACACGGGATTGCATAGATATAGTTTACCTCTCGCACCCCTCCCCCCTCCTCTGTGGAGGCTAATACTTAGTCTGAATTAACTCATGCAGAAGAAAAGCAACAAAATGCATGAGAAAGGAGGATGTTGTTGGAAGTTTGTTCAGTGTTATTACAGCTAACGGTCTGTGTTATAGTAGTGTTTTTAGTAACACTGTGATGTCAATAAGTGTGATCTGTATAAGGTTTTCATTTGTTTTTAAGTTTGAGTGAAAAAGCAAAAATCACTGACAGTTTTGGGTTGAATGGTAATGACAAAGTTTGCAAAGAAGTTTGTTACAGAATTATCACAATTTCACATTTTCTCAAGTACGTTATCATCAGGTTTATCATTGAGATTTATTAATCACATTTATCTATTTTTTGCGAAAACACTGTGAATTTGAAATGATAACAGACATAAGACATTTTTGAAATAGATCTTTGTGGTCATGGATTGTTGTCTTGCACTGTAAAAAATGTCATCCAGTGTTATATATAGACATAATAAAATGCTTATTTATTGATGACTGAGTATCATTTGTTAATTCATTGCACATTGAAATGGAGGCACTTGATTGTAAGGCAGTGGGTTGATACATAGTAGCATTCATCAATATGACCTATAATAATTGTAGAGGAAGTATTTCTTTCCTGAACTGGGTAAACAGTAGCATATCTGCAACTGCTTGAATGATAAGTGCATCAGCCCATGTACCTTGAATACACATATTATTCAGATATCTTAGCCATGAATTTTCGGTATTGCTCTCAATAAATCTCTCTGGATTGTCTCTCATAAATTGAACCCCAGCAGTACGTATCTGCATATGATGGTTGCTACTGCCATATAATTGATGTGATACAGATCTAAAGAAACAATCACCTGCACGGCCAACATCTATTGATTGTAAACAAAGTGCACCTAGTCTTGACTGCATCAAATTCTCAGAGGAAATAGGAGAGTTCAACTGCATTGTTGAGCTGTGATTTTGCATAGAAGGTCTAATTATTACTTCATGATGATCAGTGTTGTATTGAGTAGGTCCTGGATTCTTCTCAACATCTTTACTTAGTTTGAAATTCACATAATTGGTCATATGACTCACACAATTGCAAGAAAACAATGATAAGTATCGATGTGCTTTACATTTTAGTTTCATTATCCTGTGATAATGCCTGCTAAAGAAAGACAACAAATAAGCTTTCTTGGGTATAGCCAAGTTAATTATCTTTGGATCGCGTTTGTTATTACATTTATATCGTGCATGATAAAGTTTTCTCACCTTATTAACATAGCGATGGAGCTTTGAAGACTTCGGTATGTCAATCATTGAAATCTTTTTGAAGACAAATTTTGATAAGTGTTCGCTTTGATTCTCGATAAATTTCACGATGGAAGGTTCACTCAATTTCTCGATAAGTTTCACGATGGAAGGTTCACTCTTAAGTGATCGCTCGTAAATTTGTCTCTCCAAATATTCACTCTTAAATTTTCGCTCATAAACTAGTGCATCGTAAAGGTTGGGGAACGTGTCGTTCCCCAAAAAGCTATAATCTTTCTCTTGACTGTCCTGCATGCCTAGTTCTTTTCAAAATGGCGGATAAGATTTCAATGAGCCAGCGATATATCTCAGTCAGCGATATATCCCTAACAATGTAACGTTGAAAAAACGGACCGTCTGCATTTTAAGACCGGTGCCAGCCTTCGGCTGGGCCCCGGTAATTAGGTTTTAACCCCTCTACGCTTTTGCATCCATCAGCAAGTTCATGTTTGAGTCATTCTTGTCCGTTCAGCAACGGATTTTAAGGTGTTTGGATACAGTTTTCAGGAGACCATACCAATATCTTTTAATCGCCTTAAAATTGATTTTATCCTTGTCCGATCACTACAAAACTTTCACCAGTGATTGACTATGAATTGATGTTTGTCATAATGCAGTTTTAGTTAAATCGATATCACCATGACGACAATCTTGATATTCGGCCGTTATCTGTAGTTACGAAGCGTTTGTGAAATGCAATTCCAACTCATACTAGTTTCAATCTCTTTAAAAACGTGTGTGAAAGATAATAGAGATAGCTCTAGCCGATTGCTAGAAAGAGGTATTTGATTAGGCGCCCTTGTTAGCGGTTTGGGAACATTTTGGTCTTTTCTAACAAATAAGCAAATAATTTTGAAACAGGTCAATAGATTTTTCTTCAAATTTGAGATTCTCATGATTAATCGTCATTTTAAATCCTTCTTCGGCATAGCAATCGGCTAAAGTTATCTTCATTGTCTTTCACACATGTTTTTAAAAAGATTGAAACTGCTATGAGATGTAGTTGCATTTCAAAAGCACTTCACGTTCTTAAGATAATGGCGCAACGTCAAGATTGTACAGTTTTTAACCCATTTCTAATTATAAAAACATCAACCCAAAATATCTCGATAACGCTCTCATAGATCTCGCTTAAAATTCACGAATATCGAAGCGGCTATTTGAGGAAGAATTAAGTTCCAGTGAAGGATTTTTGAAGAACAGTTTTAGTGCCGAGAATATGACTGCAAGTAAAATAGGTAATGGCGTAATTTAGTTGCTATGATAATTCCGATGCCGTCGTTGTAATCCTTGAGTTCTAGTTATGGGACATTCTTTTGTGCGTTGGTTAGCTTTCGGCCATAAGAACAATTTTGACCGCGCGCTTCCGAGATGTTTTACCTTTTGAGGAATGTTTATGTTCTTTTACAGTGCATCAGGGGTCCCACAGTCGAATAATCAATTTTTCCGTCTTGAGTGAACATCAAACTATGACCCATATTGACCTGATGGTCTTCATGTTAACGCTGCTGGACAATACTGTCTGTATCGCAGCTATCGAGGCACTATCACGAAAGGCTTACGACTGCTCGCCAAGAATTTTCTCCGTCAGCAATAATGACTGATTTTTGTTTGATTTCGTTTAAAGCCTCAGCCTGCGACACAGACCAAAAAACTCTGATTAAGTCCGTCTACTAGCCAGCGCCGATTTCTGTGCTCCCAGCTGTGTGCATGTACCAGGATTTGAGTAGGCCCCATTATTAGATTGTTAATAAGCCATTGCTCGATTGGCCAATCATGTTGAAGGAAAATTCAAAACGCACTGCCGATAATTCGTTGAGTCCGTTTGGGGTCTAGATTAAGAATCTCGGCGCTGCTTCCCAGACGTTACTAATAGAGAGGAGATCAACTCTGCGACACAAGTTTTTGGAGCCCCTGCCTTTCTAATTTACTTTCCATTAGAGCCCTTTTTGGACTAAACGTTTTATCGAGCTCTTGATGTTCTTTTTTTGTAAAGTTCTTTTTGCCCATCAATTTTATTTTGTTGTTTGTTATCACGCACGTCTACTACGGCGACCTTGGGTAAGCCATGCTTGTTCTGTAACAAGATTTTTGTGCTGGAGATCCTGTTGTTCTAGTTTCTCAGCGTTTTTCTTTGCCAAAAGTATTGTTAATAAAACTACCGGTAGTTTTTCTAGGAAAAATAGACTTGGTGCTCCAGAGCATATAATAATACCTGTGCATGCCAAGCCATCACCAGCATATCCTACGGAGCAATGGCACTTGTAGGAGCCAATGGTGTTTGTGCAGACAGCATTCTTGTGGCAGTGGTTATTATTTCCTCCACATTCATCGAAATCTAATTTAAAAATCAAGTAGTCAATAATTGTTCAATCAATCAAACTGCAATCGATTGTCAACTAACTTTTTTTAACAAAAATGAAAGGAACTTAATATAAATTAATGTATGTGCACATGGATCAGTCAGTTAAAACTCTTGACGATGAAGGACTAAATCAAAAAAATCAAAAAGCGTCAGCTTCTTGGATTCTTTCTGCGATGTGTAATTTTTCTAGTCACTGATTTTCTTTGATTTTCTAGTGATTTTCTAATTTTCTAGTTCCTGACTGTCTTTTAAACTAATCCTTCAATCCATTCCCTTTGGAACGTTTCGATAACTAACAGATTTGCAGCAAACTCAAAGCACTTGTCAAGGTGCAAATTGGTAAGATGCCAGTATGCCTAGATCTTTTTGGCAACAAGAAAGGAAAACGTTCCATTTACGTATCAATGACACTTAACGCATGGCGGCGTTAACTTAAAGACCATTTTTAATTTCCTAGAATCGCTCACATGCAAAATGAGTTCAACTGCTAAACCTTTCATGACGACGGAGTTTCGTTGGCACGAGAAAATGAGAGAAAAAATTTAATGAGAAACACTTGTAAATGGCTTCTTGAATGACATCTAACAATAATAATGCTGCTGCTGCTGCTGATGATGATGATGATGATGATGATGATGATGATGATGATGATGCATAGAAAATGAGTTTAAGTGCGAAACATTGCAAGAGGAAGGAGTTTATTTGAATGAGAATAGAGAACAATTTCCACATGTGAACAAAAACTTTGAAGTTGACTTCGATTTAAAAAATCAGCTTGGTGCAAATCGCAAATGGCTTTTGAATAGGAACCAATGATAATGGTAATGATGATGATGACAATGATGATGATGATGATGATGATGACGATAACGATGAACATCGTCTATTATTATAGAAAAGAGGTAAGTCACCCACAAACCTTCTGAGCAGGTATAGTTATGGCATGTATCACACCTCACATCATTCCACTTAAAACTATGTCTGACTCCTAATGTGTGAACGCAATCTTCATTGTTGAAGTTGTTTGGTTGGTTTTTCGCCCAGTATGTGAAATTATTGGTTTGATTATCTGCCCAGGTGAAATTGCCCTCTGTGACCCTATCGTTTAGACCAATCCAGCCCTTAGCACCATTCAGCCGATGCTGAATATAAACGTTTTCTTCTTGATTCCGTACGGTGATGAGGTTGGCGCTGTATGCCTGGCAGATTTTCTCTGCTTCGGTCCAATTCTTGCATGAATGGCTTGTCGCGTAGCAAATACCATTAAAATATGACCAGCCCGGTTTGCATACATCTGCAATATTACAAAAAAATTTGTGTGAAGTAAATAGTGCAAAACGAAGAGAAAATAAGGCATATAGGCCAGACGTCGAACTTTTCATGAGACGAACCAAACTTAGTGAGTTAAGTTTATCAAACGTTTTACTTCTGACTCAGTTAAGATAGTCTGAATGAGTTTGGATCGTCCAACATGTTCAGACGGGCAGAGCGTCCGAAGATCGTCTCTGGTACAAACGTCGATCTTCACAAGCCCTGAACTAAACTAATAAATTTAAAAAATTGTTGCATAATGTATATAAAATCGTTCGGGGGAAAATAATTTTATTACTGATCTGATTCACATGATTGGCTCGATGCGTCCTATATATAAAGATCGACGTCTGACCCAGCAGATCTAGACGAGATCTTAACGTGAGTATGGTCAACCCAAATTAGCGTATGGTTCGTTCCATCTAACAATCGCTGGGCGGCATGAGAAGGTCTTCGCAAAGAAATTATTAAATTTGTTTTTATTATTTACTAACCTGCTAGTACTGTGTAGGAGACAGTCACAGGATCATGCTGGTCAGCGAACAACTCCTTGAGACAAATGCGAAATTCGCTGGTCTTGATATGCTGTAAAATAAGCATATCATCATATCATATTTACCTTAGAAGAACAATAATAGCTCAACTTAAAGAGACTTTCGCTTAACAGCCTGTAACTGAGTCATTTCCCTATCTAAACAAAAAAAGAACATGGGAAATTGACCTTGAATAACAGATAGACAAATAGATGGAATGTTTCGCTGCGCGACTGTCACTGATAAAAAGATTGCATGAACAGACCTTGGTGAAATTTAGCTCATTTGCGCATTCCCTATCAACCCTGTCAGCTTGATGTCACTTATTTTGAAGAAATTTTGTTGTGTATTAGTTAAATAATTTGAGAATACCTCAATCCATGGGGTCACGGACATGTATATTGGCTTCAAATTGTTGCCTTCTGAGTTGTGACCGGCTGCTATTAATACTATGGGTTCGTTGTCGTAATTCTTTGCAAATGGGACGTCCTAAGGACATAAAAAGATGGCTGTTGATATAAAATTTGAAACACCATCCATTCCTGATCAACGCATAGTCATATTATAGGTGATGAACGTTCATAAAACAAGTTCCTTTCATCTCTTTTCTTTTGAAAGATCATGATGACATGATATGGCAACTAGATGTGAAATTACTCATCGTCGACTTTCTTCGTTTTTACTCCTATTTATTAAGTTGAGATAAAATCTGGAGTTTTACAGCCGTAAAGATGATTTAAGATGCCTAAATGTACTTATTTGATAGCCGCTTTTCTCTGCTGTTCCATTACACTTTCAAAAAAGTCCTTCGTCGGATTTAATATGGCGCGGGATGAAGGTCGATCTCTCGCGCGACTTTGTCGCTCAGTAGGTCGCTTCGCGGCCTCGCCGAGAGGTGGACTTGTAGCAAGTCTACTGTTCCATCTAAAAAGATAAAGAGCTTTCTTCTGCTTAAATGTAAAGTTGCGTCTTACCTTGCAAAATGCACCATTGTAGCTTGTAGAAACGGAATTGTTGTTTGGAAAATCCACGTGTTTGCTCTCAGCGAAAAGGGGCCTGTGGATTGTTTCAAAGGCCATCCAACTCTAAAAAGAGGGATAGCAATCAAAAATGGATTGCTATCTCATACCTAAATCCTGTGTAAAAATAGTTGAGCCATGTGCCCGAAAAACGATTTGTAACTTGTATCCACAATGCTTGCGAGAGCTCATTTCACGTATATTATCATTGACCCTATTCAGAGCGTTTTTTTTTTTGCTCCCTGCGAGCGGGGTGGGTTGGCTTTCGAGGCTCCCCTCTATAACTTTAAAACCTCTAATGATACGGCCACCAAAATTACACAGAATAAAAAAATTTCCAATGTCTAGGCATAATTTGATTGTCACAATGACGTTATTTGACGTCATTACAACGTCATATTGTTGAATTTGTTGGCTGAATAATGCACTGCATTAGACTGTCATGAGTTTCTCAATGGCTATTAACCTACAACCTCCCCCGCTAAAAAAAGGCCTTTCATAACTCCCTATATAATTCTCTCTGTATGCCACTTTGAAATCAGCGCGCGTTTTAGACTGAACACGGCTCTCTTAGTGAGCATTCTTAGAGTTTTTTGTGGCTGCCTTAAGCAAAGCTTTCCAGAAGGCGTCATGAAACCTTACGAAGGAACACGTCTCACGATTAAGTCTGCTACGTCTTCTCGTACTTCGTCTCATTTAGCTACACGGATGAAAGACTGATCCCGGGTTTGAGAAGGAAAGATTGGATATTGCGAGCTTTGTTGTTGGCAGCAAAAAGTCTTTGGCCCCACAAAGTAGGTTCTAGGGGTGAAATTTATCCGGCGAGATGGAAATTGATGCTGATCTCTGACCAGGCCAAAGACGTCTTCGTCAAAAAATTGTTTGGAAGGCGGGGGCTCCATGTCTCCTTTTCAACCGCTGGTTTACATCCAGGATCTTGAATAAATCGACTGTGTGACTCGAGAAAAGTTTCAATCGACGATTTATGTGCAGAATGCGACAGTTTTTCCGAGTAATTTGACGAGTAATTTCGCCCGTGTTAAATGTGGAAATATTACGAGTGGTTTTTTGGAAGTTCTGTGATTGCCACGAAATTAATATTGTGTGATTTACCGAAAGCGTTGACAAACAAAATTGAGGTATGTGGTTGAGCTCGTGTTGCCAGGTTACGGTATCAAGCATAAAAAGAAACGCTTCACAAGTATTTAGTTTAGGTGATTTTGTCTTAGAAAGCCTATTCTGTGCTCAAATATTGTGGCTTCTTAATCTGTTTTCGGCAGACACTTGCCTATGGGGCCTCATGGTTTGGCTGACTAAAAGGTTATAATTTCTGGACGTTTCAGATGTTGTTTATTTTATCCCAAAATCCTCTTTCTTCTGGGAGAAAAATTCACCGTCTGTTGCCAGCAGTAAAGTTGTCAGCTGGTATTTTGTAACTACTTTCCATTCGACTTAGATATCAAATTGTTAAAATGCACTTGAAATTTCTTTAGCCAAGATTTAGCAAACGCCAGACAGATATATTTATAAAGGAGAAAACATATACCACAAAGATATCTTCATGTAGACCATCATAATTCTGCAGTTCTCGAAGACAAATGTAAAAGGACGAACTGGTTGCGTTTTCCACCCACAAACTTGCGGCATCATGCTTAAAGTCTGCACTTATATGTTCTGCTGTAACCAGAACCGTTGGTGTAGACGCAAATTTTCCCTGTTAAAAAAACCATTCATAACAGTAAGAAAGTTGAATTGGTAATCATTAAGTATACACAGCAAAGCTGATTGGGAGAATAGCATGTAAAATTTGGAATAAATGACATTTCACATGATCGGGACGCTCATAGGACATTGGATCGTGGTCAGGTGTCTGAACGCGACTGTCAAATTTAGCCCTAGACCGTACAAGTTTCTTTCTCCTATATTTTTTTGTATCAAATAATGCTTTTTTTAAGAATATCTCCCCCCTCTGACAAATAGTGTAAGAATTGAAAAACGTTTAAAAATGGCCTATGTGTCAGAACGAATTTCGCGGACAGAACTGGGCTGCCTCTTTGCAGCTCATGTCTCCAAGTCCAAGTACAATATCTTTGATTGGATAACAACTGGAGGTTTTAGTACTTATGACATCAGCATATCAAATGTTCACCTTATTGAAAACTTAATTAAAGGTCATTATTTTTTATGGTTTATGCAACGAAACAAGATGCAGCTGAGAGGTAACAATAAAGTGTTATTGCCTGAGGAAGGCTGACTTTTGAGCACTGTGATCCAGTCCACCATTCTGGAATGCGCATTTTACCCGCCACACCTCCATCAGGAGCACCTTGGTAGGCCATCCAGTCCACCGTGGCAAATTCTTTGATAAAGCGATCATTTCTTCCTGCTGCAGTCACGCACACCTAAAGATAAAATGTAATGGCTAATGTTTATTTTATATGGTAAGATAATATATAGATTTAGCCAAGGCCAAAAGCGAAACTCTCGTGGTAACTTACTTCCTGTAGTAAAGTTTTCTAAGCCTGCGAACTCTTGAATTCTGTTACCGGTCAGCGGAGAACTTTAAAAAACCCGTCATCTCAATAAGTTGCACACCTGAGCCCGCGATAAAGTCATGTGACTCTGGTCTGCGGATACCCTACTTTGACAGCTGTCAATTGATTATAACATGGATGTCCAAAATCGAGTTAAACACAATTTGTATATGTTTTAGACTTACAGCTAGTAAGACATTTCACATCCGTTAACATGAAGACGCGGTCCTACGTACGTACGCACGATTTTGTTAGTAACCAAAATTTCTTGGATACATAGATAACCAAATTTTCTACCCATAGTGTTCCTCTGCGCGCGCAACACGCGAAAACTCCGCTAGTAACTCGTTGTGAAAATAAAATATGTTTAAATAGTATTTTACCGACCAGAAATATGACAGGTAAACAAGAGTTCTTGGCGATGTAAGACAAATGAACAAAGGCTCACTAATTACTACTTGAAGTAATACTTGAATTGAACACTTCCTTTTAAAATATTCACCTCAAAATTCTCGAAGTTAACAGTTTCCACCCAGGACACAGTAGCATCATGTACAAAATTTTTCTCGCTTATGTTCCAGTGATTGGTCGTTATTTGTACGTGCACTTCTTTGTCCGGATAGAATGAAAACGGTGGAAATTTCACTACTTCACAGGCCGTCTCTGCCCACTGTACATGTCTCCTCAGTGAAACTCGCCCAGTCTGAACAGGAAAACCTGTCGAGGAACAACAAGAAAAAGAAGATACAACATAGAAGAAAAACAAAGCTAATTAGAGCTGAAAGCGATAAAAAACAAACAAAAAAACAACAACAGCCATAAAGTTAACATAAAGACAAAAAAAGATGCATCCTACAAATACCTGATGAGGATGAGAAAAAAAAAGGTATAAAATCCTTTCTATATGCGAGGAAGTAAATTAAAAGCTGATTGTACAATCAGACAATCATATAGTGGCACTATATAATTGGCACTTTATTGCATTCAAAACAGTACCAAAATAAGCAAAATAGTATTTAATCATGATCAATTTTAGACCTACAGATGCACGGAAAATGCCATGTGCTTAAAACGGAATTCCAAGATGGCGCCCGAGATGGCCGCCATATTGAGTGATGTTATAAGTAATCAGCCGGACCATATCTCATAACACTAGAGCTCTGCATACGCTGGTTAAGGTGGTTTTAAAAAAACCTTATAATCCGCTCTCTTACCTGTACAGCTACCGGGATGATAGAGAGTGTGGTTACTCTTGCGCCTGCAAATGTCCAGCAGACAAAAGCACTTGTTCTTAAATGTTGTCGAGTTGGATGAACACACTGGCTCCTCGTACGATGGGCAGTTGTCATCACAAACACAACGGGCATCAAATGCAGAGAAAGCTTTGCAGATGGCATGGTAATCGCAAGTAACGTTTGTGCACGGGTCTATATCTTTAGGGTAAAAAAACAACAAGAAAATCAGCACTTGCATGAATAGCAAATTGACCTGACGTCCTACATCCTTTGAGAGCGCAACTGCTTTTTAATTTTTTTAAATTTTGCTTTGTTTTTCCTGTGAAGAAAATTGATGGCAAAAAAGACAGGAAATGGGCAGTTACTTTTTCTACAAATTATTAAAGCGTTTGAAAAGGCGATCAATACGATGCTGTCCTTATTTAAACGTCATTTTTTTATAACTTCTTTCTTCGACATTTGATCATGGTTTTTTATTCTTATTCGAATTCATTTCTTCAATTCGACGTTTGACCCAACGGCCAAATTCCTTGACAGTAGGGCGAATCAATATGAGAGACAAATCTTTGAATTTAAAGAATAAGCAAATATAAGAGTAATGTACCTCCCACTATAGCATAGTCCACTGTAACTGGATCGTGAGACTTGCTCATTCCCTGACTGTCTTTGATGCACACTTTGAAAGACAAACGAGTGATCTCCTGGAATACAACATCAAATATACCAATAAATAAAAAGCTTGTATTGACCTGTTAGCTTTTAGACAGGGGCGTCCAGTTAGGCAATAAGAACAAGAGCAACTTTGAATCGTTTAAACGGACGTACAGTTCTCACGGTTATATAATGGACGCTGCTGTCTGTTGCAGTGTGACTACTATAACCGAGGCCATCTAGACAAAGTTGACCAATCGGATTACATGAAAAGAACAATACATTCCGAGAATGTTAGTTTTCAGTCATAATCACCACGGAAATAAATAATAATAATAAAAAAAGAATGGATCGTAATCAACCAATTACAATCTACAGATGTGACCGTTTTTAAACCATGAACCCATAGAGCCTCCGTTAAAAAGAATCATCAAGTGAAAATGAGTACGGGAAATGACAATCAGCTTGATGATTCAAGTTATTGCTTGAATTTGCCGTAAAGTGTTAAGTGCCACTTCGAACTTCTTCTTTAGTTATAAGTGCTTTACTCTTTAGCGAAGGTAGCTATTTTAATCAGCAAATCTTTGAAACAGTTTCAATTTATTATGTGTCTTCAAAGCTACTCACCTCAATCCAGACAGTCAAAGCGTTGCTATAGCGACCATCTGCCTTCATTGACAGTTCCCTGGTGACATTTTCATGGCCGACAGATGCCAGAATATTGGGCGGCTCGTAGAATGGATTCTCAAACTTATAATCCTATAAATCATGATTTACCAAACACAATAATTTTCCCTGACTGTTTAAAGAAATATTGTCCCTTTGATCCTTTTGAAGAAAGTGATATTGTCCCAGTTTATTAAGAAAATGATTAGGCAAACTCTAGGTCTATAAAATATATCTAATAGTGAATGCACCTCCTGAACACGTTGCAGTCAACAAATCTAAAACACAACTCTTGTGAACAACGCATTGATGATCAAGAAGGTCTTATCTCTTGTTGGACTTAAATTCTTATTTCAAAAATGCACAATACGCCGATGCTACAGTGTCAAAGAAATGAGAAATACAAAACACAAACGTTGATTGTTAACCACGTTGGTTTAAAGGCTTGAGTTTGTAAGTTAACCTCGGACGTACATGCAAATTCAGGTACAAGGGGGGGGGGGGTGGATGGAACCCCTCCCCGGTGTTTTTGATATGTTTCAGTATTTTGAACCATTTTATCTTTAGTGGAAAGCCTTTGATCTTTTAAACAAGATGAGGTATATTTAAGGGCTGGTGGCGCTGCTGAAGGCCTGTGACGTCACCAACAATGGTCGCCATCTTGGAGTTTACCAAGAATTAGAAATCTGGTTAAAACTGCATGAAATGGTAATTTTTTGTGCTTTAAATGACAAATAACACAAACAAGCACTTTGTATGATTTTAGCCACAATATTTACTTTTATTGTTGAAAGAAGTTGAAAAAACATGTATTTTCACCCAAAATTGGCTTGACCACCCGCTACTTCTGACGTCATATATCGTAACCATAGCAACTCACCATCACTAAACTTGTCTCAAAATGTGCGCGAGGGATTAACGAACTGAAAACGTCTGGTACTGACATTTTATCCTCTGGGAAAAACTCAGAAAAACCATATGGGTGGGTGGTATCCATCCCCCCCTTGTACGTCCGAGGGTTAAGTCAATAAAAAATTGAATGTATCATTAATAAACGTCATATTTCCAACCTGACAAAAGGCATAATTGCTCTCTTTCTTTGGTGCACCAAGTCCAGAAAAATGAAGCCTTCCTTGCTCAGTAAAATTCCAAGCCTCAGGTAGCAAATCATAAGCAAGCCAGTTCTGAAAAGGTGGACGCAAGTAACAGTCACAGCATTAAACGTCTTTCCTTCTGGGTTTTTAAGAAAACTTAACCTGACGGTGGGAACCCTGAGAAAAATTCGTATCTGCAGTCTAAGAAAGAAGCAAAATACCATGACCTATATTTAACACTATTCGGATCGGGCGTTTTTGGGCTCCCTGGGAACTGGAGGGGGAAGGCCCCTTAGAGAAGTTTATAACCACTCATGATACAGCCACTAAATTTGCACAAAATAGTGTAATCATCATTCCAACAAGTACGAGTAATGTGATTGACACAATAACGTAATTTGACGTAACTAATGTCGCCTTGTTGCATTTATTGTCTTAACCCATAGCTTATCAATTGTTTCTGTAGCCATTAAGCAAAAATAATTAAATTACTTAAAAATCATGATGATGGTTGACAACTTGATCATCTTTAACAATGGAAGTGACAACATGATGACGTCATTTCTTATTGAGACGATATGCCTTTTTGGATCTGCCATTTTGAATTATTTAAATTAATTCCATTTATTCCTGCTAGTTGGCCATTTTAAATTCAATTAATGTTTCCAAACTAGTCACTAAAAGCCTAGATCATATTAACAGCTACGTAAATAATGCTAAATTAAGTGTGATATAATAATTCACTAATAGTAAATCTAGAAAAAATCAGCAAGAGTCGCCAAGTTTGATGGTCCTAGCTTGAACGGTTTTAATTTTATTCAACATTAAAGTGTTAGGAGGCCTCAAAGCCAACGGCACCGGGCTGAAGTGAACCCTAAAGTTTCATCTCAGAATGTATTAGGGAAATGACGAGGGTAGTTTGTATGCGCGACTACAAGAAAACTTTCTTTCTTTTCAAAACGCCTGCTGCACATGCGCAGCAGGGGCGATATTTTGTTAAGGCTGAAAAGCCGCTCTTTGAAAGAACCCCGCTCCCTGATCAGCGCCCTCCTTCCCCCTTTTTCACTTCCAGTCCACCCCTCCACCCCTTTCGTCAGGCTGTCTTTGCAAAGCAAATTCAGAGTTTTACGGTTTCAAAACATTTATGGGTTAGGTATAACAATAATTCTTCTAATATAATTTTTACGTAATTTATAAGGGGAGGCCAAACTAACCACCAGGTTTTTAATTAGCTTCCATACAATCAGATTTAATTTTAAATTTAATTGATAACAAGTAAGGACGAAGAAAAACGTAATAGTCGAAGATTGGGCTAATTTTTTAAAACTCACCACTTTAAGTCCGGTATGGATACCGTCGAAACTCATAAACTCTCTCAAGCAAACAACGAAGCCGTCTGCTTCGACCTCTTCTAGCCAGATGTTCATGGAATCAAAAGGACGGTTAGAGTGTTTATGTTGAACGGTTACAAACACTTGAGGTTTTATCTAAAAGAAGAGAAAAAATCAGCCAATAAGTACATGCACATACTGACCTTAAATATGATTATCGTCCTTTGCCCCGAAGACGACCGGATTAACAGTGCTTAACGTTATGGACTGACGTTATGACAAGCTCATGGCCATTATAGCTTCACAACAATTGTTGATTCGGAAAATAATCAAGTATCGACTTCACTTCGGCTTTGAAGAGTTACTCGGTTTTGCATGCGGCGATTTGCCAGAGTATTAGTAGGAGACTCTTGAACAGCAAACAAAACATAGGAAAAAAAAAACGGACGATTCATATAGTGCTAAGCCCTTTTCTTGTTAAAGGGGATATGCCACGATGATATTGCTGCTTTAGGCCACTTCGCAATTCTGTGCTGAAGTAATCACTGTGTCCATTTATCCATGCATTAAATGTTCCTGCAGAGCCATGAAGAAGATATCAAACAACTTTCATCATGGAGCACTATAACCATTACATTTTTTGGTGATTTTTGCAGTCATAGTATTTAAACAATTTACAAAACAAGGCCATTTTTTTTTTAATTTTACTGATGTGAAGTCACGTGCGTTTTCGTTATTTTTGTCCCTTAAGGTCGAAGTTGAGTTATGAGTTTTTCGTGAGTATTGACTTTAAAACTAACATGGAAGACTAAATGAATGAATTGGATGACGTTGCGAAGTTACCTGCTTCTGAATGCTTAGCGATATCTTCTTGCACTGTGTTCGTGACGTGAATTCATTGAATTCCACGATCCCTGAGTGTATGCCTTGATGCGAACCTTGAAATGCAAGCCAGTTGATCACAGACGTTCCACCAGAGCCACTTCCTGCTTCGCGCACGCAGGCTTCAAAACCTGTTGTTGACACCGACTTCACCCAAAGAGACGCTGGGTCGTGGATTTTAACATATTTGTTTCCGTGACTGAGCGTCGCGAACACCTTTACATCTCCCGAACCCTGGAATTGAGTTTCGAAAGAAACGGCTTGGCAGCCATGGTTGTTTTGGGAAGTGTCGGTAATATTTACCTTCCCAGCTTGAAAGATAGCCCCTTGAATGTAAAAAAATAAATAAATAAATAAAAATAAAAAAGAACTATGATAATGATATACACGATAACGATAACAATGACAATAACAATAACGATAACGATCATAATGATGATGATAATGATGATGATGATGATGATGACGATGACGATGACGATAGACCTGCCAGATGGTGCGGAAGGGGGTATAGGGGCTACATATATCTTAGTATTTTACAATTAGACCAGATGAAAGGCGAGGTAACAGCGGAATACATCTGAAGAGAAATTAAGACGGTTGTGTAGATCCAAATTGAATGGCGGAAATCTTATTAGTGCATCAATGTCTAGGCTGTAGGTTAATACGCTACAGTGCAAGTATCGTGGATTGCATGTTGGAAGGGCTGGTCAGTATGGATAGAAAAACTAGGACGATATTGGCGGTAAATGGCTATTTACACACAAAACGTAATGTTGCCAGACTGTATCTACTGAGAAAAGAAGGGGTGAGGGTTGATTGGTATTGAGGAGTGTTAGAAGGAGAGAAAATTGTTTCATGGCTACCTGAGAGATATCAAGGAGAAGGTGTTTGTTGAAGAAGAGAATCTTCAGGACTACCAGAAAAGAAGGGAAGAGGAGAAAGTCAGGAACGGGAAGCTCGACACGGAGAATTTGCTACGAAAACTTCAGATGTGGCTGGAGAGGAGTCCTGTGGATGTCTCAGGAATGGTGTTGTTAAAGATGGGAAAAGAAGGCAAAGCAATCCAAAGCAATGCAAAGGCCTGGTTAGAAGATTAAGTTTGCCCGACATTTTTTGAAGTACTCAGTTATCAGCCATCAATTCGTACTGCTCACATTTTGCGGAATGTGCTGTGCCTTTAAGCTGTTGGATGCAGCTGAGAAATGAGAAGACCAAGAAAAACACCAGGGTGCTGGAGAGAATCGCCCAATAATAATGATAATGATGATGATGATGACAATAATAATAATTATTATTGTTGTTATTATTATTATAACTGCAATAAATTGATAAATGTTAATCGTGAATTTTTGGTTAAGTATGCACTTGTTGACCTAACACCAGTTTCAATAAAACCCTTTATATTAATAAATGGGGAAAAGAACTCAAATAAATTCTGAATGCAACAATATTTCTGGACAATATAATATATATATTTTTCTGAATATTTGGTTACCTTTCCCCATTTTGCTATCCTTCTCATATCACCCTAAAATGATGCGATCCTCTTATTTGGAATTATTTTGCTATGTCATGCAGATTAATTTACTATTTTTAATCTATAGGTCTAATCCATCTGGATCAATTACACCCCATAAGTGGTTTAATTACTTCCTTGAAAGCAAAGGTTGAGCTCGGGCCTCACGTCTCTTAGAACGTGCTTTAAGTTTGAGATCGTCGTCGATAAATTCCTTATTGGGTGGGCCCTGGAGAGTATTTTGTCAGCTTCATATTTTTGCTTATCCAAGACAAGTAACCCTGAGTAAGGTTTTCGTTGACGCACGTCTTCAGAGACCCAGAGGAAGAACATTTGGACGCGAAACAGGCAAAATTATTGCCGAGAAGGCTTTCAAGAAGTAGGGGAGAGAAGCCTCCCAGTTCCCAGTTTGCTTGGAGGGTTTCAACCATAAATATTCCGCGCCACTAGTTGCTGCCTTTGTACCTCCTAGGATGCGCATGAAAAATTATCTTAGTTCGTAGATAAACAAGTATTATTGGGGTACTCGAGAAAACGATGAAACGTGCAGTCTGCACCAAATTTGTATTGTTCAGATTGCAGTCGATTTTCAACCCTCTTAACAAAATTTGCCAAGAACCATTCTTGTTTGATGAAAATTACCAGAAATTGGTAATTTACCAGGACAATATTCGATGGTCATTAGTAACTTACCACTGGTCAAATATAGCTGCAAAAAAAGCACCTGAGCGGAAAGGAAAGCAAAGAGTGGCTTCGTCATCATTGCCTTAATTCTTTACGGCTGTGTATTGATATTACCTCTCCTCTGTTGCAAATACGTATATGGACACTAGGCATCTCTATTTAAACCTTCTTGGTTTTGGAATGAGGAAGACTTACAGCAGTTATTTAGCACCTATCTCTGCAACGGGGTTAAAGGGTCGTCGCACCATGTGAGCGTTTCAGCGTTTAATCCGCTGGCGATGTCGCCATTCTGAAAAATGATTGGCTGGGGTTATAGAACTACTTACGATAATAGTCCATGGGGATAAACTTCAAGCAACCTTTTATTCAGTATCCGTTGGCTGACCACTTTCTGGAAATAAACAACTATTCATGCGACATTGAATAAAGATGATCGTAAACAGGTACACTAGGTATCACAGATTGTCTTGCTAAAAATAAGGACATTTTCTGTCCTGAAAATACAGGTCACGTAATTTCGAGGTCCTACAGCATAGAATATATTAGTAATAATAGCCTCAATCAACACAACGATACGTGGAAGCTCTGCAGTTGCCAAAATTAAGACACTTAAAAATTATCAGACTTGGAAAAAAAGGAAGACATTCGAGTACATGATTCCGCATTCTCCCGCTTAAACGTGATTAAAGGGAAGTTGATGTTTGTTATCTTAAAAACATACTGACACGTACACCTCTTAATACAAACAGCTATGCTATTGATTTCAAGTCAATTTTCCTTAACAAAGTACGTAAGTTGCTATTACAGTTCTAGAAAGGAATTTTCAAGCGATAGAATAGAAATCTCACTGCAAACGGAGCTAAGGCCAAACTGATAGGCTTGTAGAGTTCAGAGGACTTGATGTCCACCTACTCGGAAGTTTCCAACACCTACCGTTACTACAACAACAACCAACCAAACATTTTTTATTTTGCCAAATTAAAAAACGTTTATAAAGAATAGCATACATTAAAATAGATAAGGCAAAAAAGCTACTCAGAATAGCAAATGAAAGCTAAACGAGCTAAGTAGAGACAATATTTAAATTACCTTTTATAAGGTTGTGACACACAACCTATAAAAAGGGAGAATATCGTCATAACCGCATGACAACCGCTGACCCCTTCAAGAAGTGATTGGAACTTTTTGTTTGTCTCCTAAGTGGCGTGATTCGGCCGTAAAAATAGTGCATTTGCCTCGTCTCGTGAATGAAAATAAATGCACGCGAGCGTTATTTCCTGGTCAAGCAATACGTTTCCATAGTAACACCAATCTTCGAAAAATCAGGAATATCCAGCTGGCAAATATGCCCATAGGAGAGCTGTTCGTGCCGGCACAAAAAGCTATCAACTATAGCTTGAACAGCAACGGCACAGAACTGGAACAAGTCCTTCACACACATCGAACATCGTAACAGAGCGGTTGGCCGTTCTCGTTGTCTAAATCACAATCTTCACTCCTGAATACCTTATAGAGTGTTTTCACATGACGTCACGGCGGCCATATTGAGGTCCCAAATCAATGAAACGGTGGCCATGTTGGTGTCCCAAACCAATCCCTTGGGAGTTGAACTCTTTTCTTATGCAAACGGTTTCCTCTGTTCCAATAAATTTGCATAGACGCAGGCCACGTGGGTGAAAACGCTCTATTGGTAAAATTTTGCGATTTTCGCGATTGTACAAAGATCGTGAAATCAAAGACCCTCGAATATTGATCCTCGCCAAATTTAAGTACCCGAGAAATTAGGTACCAATAATGTATTCAGTTCCGTCTCAGTGGGTTCTATTCCTCTTTACGAGTTATTCACTTCCGCTACGGGCCAAATACCTTCTCACACCACGCCAGACTGTGGCACAAAACCTATCAGATATGTGTCGCTCCACTTCCGAGATCGGTGCGGCGCTGCTACGCTCCGTTACAGAAATTGCGCCAAAATCACGATTCTTATGTGTGAACAGAAGCCTGGTATGGTTTTCGTGCGGGTGCAAAAGCTATCCTTTATAGTGTAAACATGCGTAAATTAGGTGCAATGACCTGAAAGTGAAAGGATTGGAATTCAGCCTCAAGTGAAATACGAGTTTTAATATCTAAAACAATATTTCCATGTCATTGTCATTTCCATGACAACATCCGACATAATTTCGCACATTTAAGACACGGAGACAGCATACCATAAACTTCCGATTATAAGACCACCCCCCCCCCCCCCTCATTTATAGGCCCATCTCCATGTATGAAAAAAAAAAACGTCCGGTTATAAGCCCCCCTCTAGCTTGTATTGAAATGAATTTGACTTTTTACGACGATTTGAAACTTAAAAAAGCAATCAAATTCGAAAAGTATTTTGATGAGCACTGCTACATAGCTTGTTTTGAAACCCTTTTTTCAGTCTGGTTATAAGCGCCATCCCCCACCCCCGTTTACAAACCCTCTTAAAACCCCTTACGAAGTTGTATAAGCCTAGGGCTTATAATCAACGGAAGTTTAACGTATACAAATGCACTAACGACCAGGTTACGTTATGCTTTTTGTATGATATTGTTTCTTTCATAACTTCATAATTAAGGTAAGCGTTCTTTGAGCTAGTTGCCTTCAATGGTTAGTTTTCTTCTTCGGTATGACTTAAAGTTTTTAGTTACCCGGCTTACCTTGCTATTGTATTAAATTAAACGAAGAGAAACTCATAAATTTACTTGTTATAAGCTTGATTACTCAAGATTGTACACTAATGTTGATTTCGATTGTTTTTTCTTCAGTTTAAAGGTGGCATACAACATGATGCAAACAACTGAAACACTGCTTTTGGTTGACGGTACTGCCAGTCCATGCTGTACTAACGTCTTGTAATCCGTGTATTCATGGGCATGCTGCCGTTGTATACAAAATGAGCAATATGTTATAATATATACCCCTTGACTTCTTGGATCAAACAAGTATACTCCCCTGATGGTTTCACATGAAACGATCAAGTCTTACAGGTTACAACTTTTGGGCGTTACAAATAATCTGGCCTAAAGCAGTATCCGAATGTCGGCCTTGGCCACGAGGTTATAAGGTCGAGCCTGTACTATAAATATATTGTATCCGTATCGATACGGGTGAATAGTGATGA